GCTGTCCAGGCCTACACGAGATGAGGCAGGATAAAGAGGGATAATCCCCCTCGATCCCAAATCATTGAGGCCAATTTCTAGCCATGGAATAATGGCGCGCGGCGCGGGCTCCTTGTATAGTCTCCATGCTTATGATGCTAATAGAAGTCAATGATGCCATAGCACAGATCACAGAACCCTGTCATTCTGGTATTTCAGTGGCCAGAGATTGTGTCTATTACGATTCTTAAAATAAAACCACAACAAAACAACTCGATTCTCTAGTGCAGTGGAAATTTGTTAAATAATATTAAGTGAGAAGCAGAGAAGTTATAAGTTTAATTTTGTATTTCAACAGTAATAGAAAATATATTAAATGGCAGAAGAGTCAAGAATGTAGATTATATACATAACATCGTCATTTTTAACCATTTATCTGATGCCATTCAAATATATGAAATAGATTCTTAACCTCAAGAATTTAAGTAAGATTAGAAAATATATTTCCTTTAGTGCAAATTTATTTTCGTCTTGATATTCCTCTTGATTGAATTGAAACAAATGTGTAGATCGGTCATTTTTCTATAAATTAATTTATCATTGCTACAGAATGGAGCCAAATGAAAGTGAAAAATATTTAATCACTTTACGAGAGCATTTAGCAGAATTATTGGATAACATATCAGATATTGGTACTGCATTAAATAAAAAGTCCAATAGTCTATTACATGAAGTAGGAAACACTAGCCACACAGACATACATAAATTGGAAAAAATTGGATTAGGAATGATAAAAATGTTGAAGATTCTAAACATAAATGTAGTGGACATTACAAATTTATTAGAAAGGGACTTGGAAAAGGTGAATGAAAACCGTAGTGAAAAACTGTTTGCAGATTTATGTTCAAAAATGTTTGAATATAACAAATTATATGTAAAGGATTTAACAAGTAATAGCGGCACTAGTTTAATTACAAGTATGTTATTAAATAAGGATACACAGACTGACTGTAATAATGTTCCTACTGCTTGTGACATTGAACCAAAATGTGAATCGAATTGTGAAAATGTTGAAGTTAAACCTGAAATAGAAGCTGGTACAGAAACAAATATACCTTGTGAAATTAATAATCCCCATACTGCTTTAAAATCGACTAAGGTAATAAATTTGGGTTTAATAAGAACCGACACGCAAGACACAGATGATTGTTGGATTGATAGTATAAACAGAAATACAACAGCTTTAGAACTGTGGAATAGAAAATATGAAGGAGAAAAAATTATTGTCACAGGTAATAAATATAATATTTATGATTTCCAAATACCTATATTACATTGTACAGGGTATAATCGCCAATGACTTTCTTAACCTTCTCTATGTTGCTTTGATATCCACTCTTTATGACAATCCACTAGAGATGTGCACATCAAGATTTTATATTATTTTGTATGTACAAATCTACATTGTTACAATACCCATCTCTTTTGACTGAAAACAATTTTTAATGTTCTTCTTTTGCCATATATCTGCTAATTGATGTGAATATTTTCAATAAATGAGCATATACACTTAAAAAAAAGAATTCTTATAAATTTTATAGCTTAATATAAAAACAAAAGTAAAGGGAAAAGCTTATCTAACTTTGATAGAGTTTAAATTAACAGTTATGCTAAAGTAAAAGACATTCAAATTTGCTAGAGGTTTTTAGCAACATTTAATTAGAATGTTAGATTAGAATTTTATACAAAAAAATTGCTGAATAATTCTTTAAACAGCACTCGTTTTCTAAAACAGGATGCCTATGACTAAAATCACTTAATTTTGATTTTTACTTTTATCATTAACTTATTATTATACTATATTATTACATTAGGTATTTTATTCATTTTAAATTTTCAGATTTTTTTTCTAGTATTGTACTAAGCGTTAAAATACAGTTTTCAATTTCAGATGAATATTTGAACAATTTGAAAGAAGAGCAAACTGAAGATAATGAATGGGATAGAAAGACTGAAGATTTAAATTATAATTTTGAGAGGAAGTTATCATCTGGTGATGATACATTTGTAGGTAATTGAAGATATTTACTTAATACTAGAATAAATTTTGTATATTATTAAAGTTATCACTAGTATTTCTTGCTAATGATTGTAAAGAAATCTTACAATTTTTTCCAGGAATTTGATTGTTAATTATTTTTATTAAGACAAATAAATTAATAATTAACTTATTAGGTGAACATAAGCATCTATTTATGTTTTAGATGGAAAATCTCCGAAGGAAGAGGAAGCATCAGGTACGATTTAAATATTACAGATTACAGACATTACAAATATTTACAAGTTATTAATATAATTTCCCTTCAGGTGTTACAAAAGCAGTACAAAAATCAAATTGTACCTCTTACATTATAATATAAAACAATTTTTTCAGATACTTAAATATACAAAGATAAAAGAGTTATTTTTAACGTCAACTATTGCCAAAGAATTTTAAAAATTGGAAAAGAATTTTTAAAATAATGAAATATTTCATTTGTTACTAAAGTAATATTAATACGCTTTTTTATATGTCAACCTATTGCTCTTGTCGTAATCTATGATTGGAATTATTTATAACATCGACATGGGTCCGCGGTGGAGACATCAGAAGTTCGAATCGAGACCCATGTTGGGCGCCAGGTCGTGGAATATATTTTAGAATTTTGGGATAATTCAACAACCTGGGCTCGCCGTGAAGACGTCGAAGCGGAGCTTCGGGCTCCACGCCGAGCGCCATGTCATGAATTATGATCGTTTGGATGGGTTTCCTCTACCTGGGACCACGGTGGAGACATCGGAAGTTCGAATCGAGCTTCACTTTGGACGCCAGGTCGAGCTAGGTTCTCAAAGGACTGTGGTCTGTGGTGGATATGGCCTACAGACGTGGTGTCTAAGACATGAGCTCGTGGTGGAGATCTCTACGACTACTACTACTACTACACTTCTCCATGAGTGCGTCGTGAGGGGTGGTCGAGGTGGTATCAGTAACCCGCGTAGCAGCGGACCTCAACACGTATGCTATGCAGAGTCGCGGAGATCGTTCTCAGACGGTATCGAGTTCGATATCTGAACTGATACCGTGGAGGCTTTTTTGCCTTACCCAGCCGACGGTGATTAGTTTTGAAACCGTGGCGGGTTTTCTGTTTGGATTGGAAAGGTACGCGAATTCGTATGTTTCGCATCCTTCCCAATTCAACGGTCTCGGGCATATCCGTAGGTACAAGACGACTTCTAGGAATATACTGAGTGTTTTAAAATCCTGAAACTCGCTCGAAGGGTGGAATACGACACTTGATTTTAATTATTGAATAACTAATTAATAATATTAAATATTATTAAACACAACATTTTATTATTGCTTAATCACAGGGTAAATAGAAAAATACAGTTGTTAATTTTTATTTTTTTTTTGATATAGCATCCTTGTGAACACCTAAAAGGCACTAAATAAAACATACATCTTGGTCCATGATGTAAACCCTGCAACTTTTTTTACTGAATATAAATATAAAACAATACAGTGTTAAATTCAACAAGAGAAAGTTTTTAATTATTTCAGATTAAAGAAAGCAAGTCCTCAAAAGTAAATTTTTTCAAAGGTTATCTGGAGGATTGATTCCACCCTAATAATTTTTGCTTTGCATACATTTTTTATTAACAAATTATGTGCAATTTTAAATATATTGTGCTCTTTGCAAAATATATATTTCCAAAACTTTTATAACTTACGTAAAAAAATTGTATTACCTACCAGTATTAAAAAAACTAGGCAATTATTTCTCCTCTTCACTTCTCTCTTGTCACAATTCGTTTAATGATCACATCATTAAATGATAAGGTTAACTAAAATTAAAAAATAATGTGGAATTGGAAAAATCCATTAGGGAGAGGAATCAAAAAAGTTATTTAAAAAACTATTCAGAATACAGTTGTCATATGCCAATTTTTAATAGGAAAATCAGATTGGAAATTTCAGCAATATGTTTTCAAAAATGTGTTTAATTTTTGCTATATCTGTGTTGGAATTCTTGTTTAAAAAAAATTTATATATACTTATTTATTATTTTTATCATTATATTATTTTGAAATAATTTGTTTTAGATGAACGAACTAGTGAAAAAGAAATTGAAGTGAATCCAGTAAATCGTAAGTAATCTAGCACATTAAATAGTGTGTCAAGAAAACTATTTCTAATAAGACCATGTTATTCTTTTGAAGGAGTGAACATATACAGACTGTTTACAAATTTGTAGATTTGTTTTTAAGGGACAACATTCCAGTAAATAGAAAAAATAGGTGAAATTTAAAAATTATCTCAGAAACTAACCGTTCGATTTTATCTAGGTTTGTTTTATTGGAAAGTATACATGTTGAGGTATGCTGACAAATTTCTTTATAAATATATATTGACTGGGAGCACTATTATCATGACCAGATAAAAAATTTCTCTTACTCGCACGGTCCGCGGTTCCCAAGTTTACATGCAGTTGGTTAATCTGAAACAAAAATTTCAAAAAGTGTCTCAAAATGTAATGTATGTTGCCCTTCGCAACGTAGAATTAAAAATAAAATGTTTTTACAAAATGATAGCCGATTGAACCTTATATACATTTCTCAACCTTTATTTCCGATCTTTTTGACTTGATAAAAAAAAATTAAGTGAGAAGAAATCCCACATTCCAAAGTAGAAAACCTGTTGTGTCAAATTTTGGAAGCAAACAGTCGAGCCGTTTTCTGAATATTTTGGGAACTGTCGTTTAAAGTTTGGCAAAGAATTGACACACTTGGGAACTTGGTTGCTCGTCAGTCTCTCGGTAAATCGCCCATAACTTTTACAGGAATATTAAGATAACATTTACACATGATATTCTTCATATTCTAAACTCGGAGAATTTTTTTTTGGAAAAATCGATTTTTGGAAAAAGTTTCTAATAATTATATAGAGAACTTCTTTTTACTTTACTATTAATCTGCTATTCCTGGACCATAGAGTAGGCCCTCCGTAGTTGTTGTAGTATTTTTCTACACTGATCCCTGACTGCCTTCACTGAATCCTCCCTTCATAGGTCACCTTGTGAGTTTTGACCTTGGCTGTACACACACTTTCCGTATCTTCGATGTCGCAAAGCTGATAAGCGTTTCTTCCTACCTTAATGCCTAATGCAATCTGGTAAATTGGCCATAATTTTCACAACTATTGGAATTTCAATATGAAATTTTCACACAATATTCTTAAGAATACAAACGAGTGGAAAAAAAATTAAAGAAAAACGTTTTTTTGCTTGGATATTCCTTCTTAATGAAAAATGGATCTCGCATTCTTAAGTATTGCCGATACTGTCTAGCCGAGTGACACGCCTGCTGCTCTGTCAAAGACCACACTTCAACTAATTTATTTTTTATTGACTAATACCGACAAATATTAATAGTTTGAATATTTAGGCTTTGTTTTGATGGAATACTGCAATGTAAGTAAAACTAATTGAGTATAACTGTTATTAATTGTTAGTGTTTTATTACATTGGCGCTTAATTACAGTAGTCATGATTTGGTAGATATGCTATTGATGTATGGTGAATGTAGATAAAACGTTGTGATCACAGAACCAACTGCTGCAAGATTTGTAAGACTCATTCGAGCACCTTATACTGATTAGTTAATCAGACAACATTGCATACTTACTGTGATATGTCATGAGACTACATGTTATTCCCTCTCGACTCCAGCCATTCTCAATATGTTCGCAATATTTTTTTTAAGTACTGCCAGTATTTGTTTATGTCTATTAGTTTTTGTATTTCGATTTTCATCAAACAATCTACATATTAATGAATAATTATAGGCTATATGCAAAAAAGAGATACCTGTTTTTGAGCTGCACTATGGTAATCTCAATTATCTTCAGAGATACAAGATTGGCACAATTAATTAAGGTAAAGTTACAGAATTTTATGACGAACAACTTGCCGAAGAAAAGTTTTACCAATTTTTTTTTTTTCAGTTTGAAGTTATGGAAGAAAAACTGAGTATATTGATTTTCATTTTTTTAAATTCAAAACAAAGGGTTTGATTTTTAAACTCAAAAATGCAAAAATCCAATATGGCGTCCATTTAAAAAATAATAATTGCAATTTGTTTCTCTAGGCAATATATACAACTTGTACAGTAAAATCTCATTAATCCGGCAGGATTAAAAACCTAAGAGTGCCGGACTACTAGAAAATTCAAATTAATGGAATATGTATAATGTAATCGGTATTAAATTAAAAAATGTTATTTTTAATTGTTTATTAACAAAGAGATTGGTACGTAAATACATACATACTACATTTGTGTGTATATTGTAATGTTTTTATGTTTCTGTAAAATAATCTTTCAACTAAACTATAACCATAAACTGTATTCTTCAAGGATAGTAGACAAACGCGGAAAAAATGACGCCGAATTACTGGAAGTGCTGGTGTAATGAAGTGCCGAATTATAGAGATTCTACTGTATACGTATAATTGAATTCCCCACAATAAAGTATTTTTTCGATTACCTTAATTTTTGGTAATTTCAAAATGAAAGAAGATAACATTTCTTTATGGCAAATTATTTGTCATCAAATTCTGTAACATTGCCCTAAATTGACCAACTTTGTATTTCTTAAGACAAACGTGATTCCAATGTTGCATCTTGAAAAACGGGCATCCTCTTCAGGGCGTTCGATTTAAAACAATACTTACATAATTTTATCAAATACTTTCCACTTTTTTGCATAGTCTATATTAAAGAAATTGCTAATTCTTAGTAATTTAACAAATTTTACTTATTTTTTAAAAACACACTGTACATGTATATTTCAGAAGCTGAAAATAAAGAATCACTTGATAGAGAAGAACATGAAACATCAAATCCAAATGGTAAATCAAATTTATTTTAATAATGCCTTAATTATAAAATATATTTGTTGTTCATTTAAAATGTTTGTTTTGGTTATTTTAAGTTTTATTTTAAGAAATACGTGTCTATTCATAATTATTGTACAATAAAAATTACTTTTAGACCCAACACGTCAACTAATAAACAACTCAGAAGAACTTCTTTCAGAGCAAACAAAACTAAACAGTGAAGGTTTAGAAATTAACAAGTCAAATTTTGACAATGAATGTAATAACAAGGATGCATCTGATATTTCAAATGCTTTAGATATGATTAAAGAAAGACTTGTTTCAAAAGAAGTAGATGATTCAAATAAAGAGAACAATTTAGACAGTCTCTGCTGCTCCACTAATTTAAATCAGACTGAAACATCACAAACTTATTCTAAGCAAATTATCTCGGATAGCCCTAAACCCAATGTTGATGTTGATTCAGAAAATAGTTGTCTGAAAGATGCAGAAGAAGCTGAAAGAAATAAAGCAGATACTGGGAGTTTAAGCTCTTTAGATGAAAGCATGTCCTCCGCATTATTAACATTAGTTGATCATTTAGAAGCTATTGCAACAATTGATCCTTCTGGTACTAAAGAAACTGAGGGGTGCATTGATAAATCAGTCCAAAACCAATCTCCGGATTCTGTTACTAAACAACTTTCAGATAATAAGAAAAGTTGTTTTCAAAATTCAGAACAAACTGAAAGAAACAGATCAAATAGTGATACTTTGAACAGTTTAGATGAAAACATGTCATCAAATTTGATTCAATTATGTGATCATCTAGAGGATGTTGCATCGGTTGAAGAAATAGATTCTGAGTTCCATGATGATAACAAATTACCTGAAGATAACTGTCATCAAAATAATTGTTCAAATGAACAAATTTTAGAGGAAGCAAATGCTGATCAAACTCGTGAAGATGATTCAGATAAAATATCTTCAGAGACAACTTACTCCCAAGAGACAGTAATATTATGCACTATACCTGAGAGAGATGAAACAGATTTAGATGAAGATGCGAATAAGTTGGATACATCTGTGACGCATTCGCAAATTGTAGATCCATCTAAATGTGTTGATGAAATGGAACATTTATGTTCTGAAGAAAACGAAACTGCTGATAGTGACGAAACAGATATTGGTGAAAATTCATTAACTATTTCTGAACTTATGTCTCAAATTGCAGATGATACTAATAGTGAAAGAGTAGAACATTTGACGTGTGAAAATAATAGTGCACCTGACAGTGATAAAACAAACATTGATAAAGATGCATGTAAACTATCCACATCTGAATCTTCACCACAAACTATCAGTCAGACTGAATATGTTGACAAAACAGAATTGACATCTTCCAAAAAGAGTCATGCAGGTGATGTCAGTGAAGAAAATATTGATGAAGATGTAAATAAGTTACCCACATCTGATTATCAACAAACTGCAAGTCTGAATACTGAACCTGTTGATAGAATAGAATGTCTACCTTCTGAAAAAAGTGACAGTAATGATGATGGTAATGATGAAGATACAAATAAATTACCCACATCTGAGCTACTACCAGAAATTGAAAGTCTTTCTAAACAGATTGATAAAATAGAAAATTGGTCTTCTGAAAAAAGTAATAGTGATGTAACAGATATTGACGAAGATACAAAAAAATTGCCCATATCTGAAATATTCCCAGATATTCCTAAAAACAATAATTTTCTGAACTCGACCAATAATTTGCATAATGATGAAAATATTTTAGCACATAATAATAGCAATAAGGAAGAGTTGATTAATAAAAGCAAGAGCACGAATGAGGAATGTCTACCTGAAAGTAGCAACATGCCCGACAGTGATGAAACAGTTAGGAATGATCTTTTAATGTCAGAAATATCTAAACAAATCTTAGATGACGCTGAAAGTGAGTGCTTGTCTGGAACTGAAAACAAGTCTGATAGTGATGTAACAGATCTTAATGAACCTAATTCACAATTATCCGTAAGGATAGATGCTATTACTGAAAATGACTGTACAGATTCTACGAAAAAAACAGGAAATATTGAAGAAGACGGCTCTTCAGAGTGCAGTAACAAATCATTTGTATTTCACATCAGAAAAAATGAAGAAATAGGTAATATTTCTTATTTAATGTTTGGTGGTGCTGCATTGTTTAAAATAGAATCTTACACCGTGCATGTGTTGTATTCACCTGCTGTAATAAAAAGAAACGCTTTTGCTTAACTAATATATGAACGTACAATTCATATTTAGTGGGATGGGATATGTTATTTTATATATAGGTGTAATGTGTATAGTACTTATTAATATAACAGGCTTTTGGAAACTGTGATATGAAATCAAATGGAATATGTACTAACAGGAGTTTTTGAATTGTAAGGAAACGGAAATATTTGATTTTTAACATATGCTTTTGAATGCGTAATATAAGCTATCGAGGACCAGGCATAAAATTTAACATATTCAGATTTTATTAATGACTATTTTTCAAACGCTTAACGTAAACCTATTCAATTTCGAACAAGATCAGTGATCCTCTTGACTGGAATAACACGATCACAGTTTGCAAAAGGTCCTTTAGCTGTAGTTAGTTTTTATAGAAAAAATTTGTACTGCCCATGTACTTCAAGCATTGTGCTTAATTCATTTTTATTAAATTAATTATTTGAAGTTTTTAGAATCTATTTTAGAATGTAATTGATGTTTTAAAAATTTATAGCATATCCAATTGTTTATATTTCGTTTTGTTAACTTTTTTAATTATCTTTTTTTTTATTATATTTCTAAAGTAGATTTAGGACTAGTAGGTATTTATAAATTTTTGTCTGATATTTAACAACGAATTGTTATTAATTAATGACTAAATATTAACATATAATCTTGAATTGTATTGCATCAACAGGTGACACTGAAAATGATAATTTTGACTCTGCCAATAAGTCGACAAACATTGAAGAAGAAAATTCATCTCACAGTAGTAACAAATCCTTTGTCTTCAATATTGATACCAGTGAAAACCTCAACTGCAAAGGTAATTTAAATTTTTATTACAAAAACAAGTTTAGAAAACTTTTTTGTAAAACTGTCATTAAAAATGACATTCTTAATTCATTGATAAGTGAACTAAAAATTGACTTTTATAATGCTACGTATCAAAAACACTTTTAACACTAGTGCAAAATAAAATTTTTAACACTTCGCAAACAATGGCCAGTAAACTACTTCGGATCTGGCAATTTCAGAAATTGGCAATATTAGTAGGAATCTTCCCAAAAGTATTTATCCCAACAGGTTGAACAGTACATTTATCGTTAACATAATTTAGAAAAAAGGGATGGTGGGTAACGGTGGCTGACCTTAATGCAGCATATTTATGGTAATAATTCATGTAGCTTCCAACGATACAAAAACTACGACGAACTTTGGTTTTAGTCTCTAAAATATGAATTAGTAATTCTCTGATTTTTCAATATCATCTAATGATAATTCATAAAGCTCTTCACAACGGCGTACTCCAAATAAACCAAAAATTGATGTAACTATCATTAGATATTTGGTGTCTGGAGCTTCATTCAAAAATGTATTAATTTCGCAAGTAAAAATTTTTTATTTTTTTGGCCAAGATCCTACACTTTTTCATTTTAAAAACGCTATTGGCTTATAATACTTGCTTATATCCATGTTGTTCTTTATTTGCAAACTAGCTTTTATCATAGAGAAATTAGACCACAGTGTTGACGCCTTCCATAACATATTTTTCTTCGAAGTAAACCGAAAGTATATTTTCACTTGTCTGCTAGTTTATTCATTTTACACCATTCAATAAGTCTTTTATATGCTATATCATATTGTTGCCGCTATTTCTGGAGCAACATATCTAAAGTTGCCCCATTTGTGGCTTCTTCAATATCTGATGGAATAATAAAATTACTTTCATTTCCTGTATTTTCTTCAAAATCCATATTTAAGGACAGCTTCAGTTATAGTTACTAATAAACACTAAACAACTTACAACTATTTTACTTAGTTACCCTTTATCCAGTACCTGACTTGATATATACACTTTATTGTCACATATAATTGAAATGAACGGGTTGCTCAGTACCAACGCGTTCGACACATAAGAGATAGATCGGGAGTTCAAACCCACAGATAGCATTTTTTTAATAACAGTTTTACAAAAAATATTGTATGATACATTATTTTGTTAAAACTGATTTTATTTTGTTCGTGAAATTGCTCTACTGTCACTTTTAACACTTGTATGATAAATAACTATTATTACATTGTTTATTAAACAAAATTTCAGTCAATATTAGTACCAGTAAAATTTATCCTTTATATGCATGAAGGAGCAAAGTGTATATCTAGGGTTTCCTGCCAAAAGGACGTATCCACAAAAGTGCCATTTTGGGTTTATGAGCTAACTTTGATATCCAATACCATAAGTTTGTCGCAACAAAAGGTCGTATCTACCACATCAATAATAACAGCACCACGCAATCCTTTTCTTGGTCATATGAACAATTATTACCTCGATTAACCTGGCAGAAGGTTATATATGTGCATACGTCCCTTTGTAATGAAACTGTACATATATTTTCTAGGTCGTATGAACATATGGCTTTCTGGCATGACAAAATTTCATGGCATTCACGAGTATGCGTTGAGTTAGTTGGCGTTCATAACCTCAATTTTTCTGTTGTGTTACAAGTTAAAGTACCTAGTCAAGTTTGTACCTGTTGTTCTCAAATAATTCGCTAAGCAGATTTACGTAAGGTAATAAACAAACTCTTACATTTTACTACTGATTTTTGAAACGTTTTTATTAGTTCCTGGAAAATAATGTTTTGGTTGATATGCCCTTCTGGCAGGAAACCCTCGAATTATTATATCAATGTATATATTATACTAATAGACACTATGGTTTCTTAGTGAATAAAAAATTTGAAATCACATTATGATACTAGCTGCATTTTCCCAAGTTCTTCATTTTATAACCATATTTGTTTCACATACAAGGGTTGCCATTTATATTTCGGGAATAGAGAACAAAAACAGAAATTAATCATCGTATAAAATAGTTTATATGCTTTTCAAAACATTCTCCAGGACGACCAATACACTTTTGCAGGCGCTTCAGTCAATTTTTGAAGCACTTTTCCCTTTTTGAAGGAGATACCTCTAAAACATGCATTTTGAACACATCAATCACTTCTTCAGGCTTCCAAAAATGTTGATATTGTAATTTATTTTTGATGTGCTGGAATAAAAAAAAAAGTCATCAGGTGTATGCTAGATGACTCATCAATTTGACTTTTTCAGTTCTCAAAAAGTCTCTTGCTTGAACCAATGTGTGAGAGCTCGTGTTGTCCTGGTGGAGAATGATGCATCTTCAACGGTTGGTTTCCCTTTTTTTTTCGAAGACCTCTGGCAAGCAAATGATTGTGTACCATGCAGAATCGACCGTCCAATGTTGCACTAATGGTACAGTTACATCTCCAGTTTAAAAAAAAAAACGGGCAACGATTTGCTTAGAAGTGCATTGTGCGCGTACAGCATTTCGAAGGCTTATTTGCAATAAAACGTAACCCACATTCTTTTCAAATAAGAGGTTTTCCCTCCAGTTAATAGAACAACCAGTTTTGCGCCACGTGATAATTCCACGTAAGCGGACTCATGGTGGTGTTGTTTTAAAATAACAAATAAATAATTAACCATGACAAGAAGATGACAAGTAACATAGCTTGTGGCTCATTGTGGGTTACGTCTTATTACAAATAAGCCATCGATTTGTTGGATTTGACATCTTGAAAGACCCAGACAGTCAACTGCTGTTTACTTTCAGGCTTATACGCATAGATCTACGACTCTTCATATGTTACGATATCATAGATGTGTTTTGAAGCACCATTTCGTATTTCTTAAGCATTTCTTGCGACGAATCGACACGAGCATTTTTTTGAACGTTTATCAAATCGTGTGGGATCGACAAATTTTTTTGGTGGCAAATGTTCATGCAATATTGAATGAACACTAATGACCAAGGATGCTTCAATCTCACGATAAGTCACATGACGATCTTGCAATATCATTTCACACAATGCATCAATATTTCCTGGAACAACAACCGAATTCGGACGACATTCACGAAATTCGTCAGTGAGCTTACCACGGCCATAATTAAATTCCATATACCACCGATATACAGTGGTTTTTGATAGTGCTTTTTCGGCAAAAGTCGAATTAAGTCCATTGATGCACTGTTGTTGAGATAATCCATGTCGAAAGTTGTAAATAATAATCTCACTGAAATATTCACGACTCAATTCCACTTTTTGACCGAGATGAATTTTTCAAGTCACTGTAAACACCACAAATAGTGCTTGTACGTCAAAATAAAAAATCAAACTTTACGATAGGGACATCGGTTGTCAGATGGCAACACCAGGATCCTCCATTCCGGAAATATAAAAGGCAACCCTTGTGGTTTTTGGTCTTTCTTGTAAATTAGCAAAATGAATGTTGTAGAGACACAATCGAACAATGCAGAAGACGATCAACATCAATCACAATCTACTTTGGACGGTACTGTTGAATATCCCAATAATAATACCCAGGGGGGAGAAACCGGTAAAGCTATTCATATTTATTTATTTCATGTTTAGTTGTTATTCAAAATGAATCCAAATATTTTGTTTGCTGATGAATTGTTAAGTAAGGAAACCACATCCGAGTTAATACCAATTTTACACTCACCGGCACGAAAAACGGAAGTCAGTTTTTTTTTAAATCTAATTTTTTTAATTGATTATAATGCTTTTGTACTGTATTAGTGTAAACACCATCAATACAAAATATTTTGTATGATTTTTAATAAGAAAATATTCATGATTCACACGTAAATTTTACGACATAATGTGAAAGAAATAAAAAAACGCTAGAAAGTGTTGTGGCAAACTGAAGCAAAAATAGCCAAAACTCAAACAATTTCCGTTCAATAAAAGTTTTTCGATAATGAGTATTGCCCCCACGACTTTTAATTATTACATTAATTTGTCTTGGCATACCTAAAATCAGGTCCCTGATGTACTCTTTGGCAATAAGCTCCCATTCTTCCACAAGAGTATCTTGAAACTGATTTAAGGTTAGTGACGCAGGAAGTTGACTGCAAATTCGTCACGCAAGCATGTCCCAAACATGCGCAATTGGGTTGGCATCTGGACTTAATGCTGGCCTCTCCATAACAGCAACATTTACCTCGTTCAGGTACTGTTGAGTCATTTTTGCAGTATGGGGTCTAGCATTATCATGCATTAGCACAAAGTCATCTCCCATGAAACCGGCATAAGGAACGACAAAATCTTGGAGAATTTCACCAATGTACTTAGCAGCTGTGAGGGAGCCCCTTGGAACGATATAGAGTTCTGTATGCACTTCCAGAGAAATTCGAGCGCAGACCGTAACTGAACCCCCTTGATATCCTACTCTAGGACTAAAGGTACATTCGGCAAAACGTTCTTGTAGTCTTCGCCATATTATGTCACAACTTTCTATAGACCGCAAAGTAAATCTTGACTCGTTCGTGAACAAAACGCGATCCAATTCGTTTTCACTCCAAAGCTGGTGATTTCTAGCAAACTGAAGTCGTGCAATCTAAGAAGTTCCGGTCCTGTTGCAATTCTACGACTAGTCAGATTTGCTTCTCTAAGTCGTCGTCTAACTGTCCTTTCACTTACGTTGGTATTTCGAATGTACTGAAACCGATGTCTCATTTCTACAGCTGTAGCACGCCGATTCTGAAGGCTTTGCATGACAATAAAAGGATCATCGTGGACATTGGTTCTTCATTGATGACCAGTTCCAGGTCGTTTGCTGCAAAAACCAGTTTCCACAGAACGTCCATAAATGCAATGGACTGTGCTATTCGATATTTGATATTGTTGGCAACATAATGCTAACTTCTTCCGTCTTGAGCAAACAGCCAGTGTTTCAAAATTTGCACCCTTTATTCATGTGATTAAACTAACACAACACTGCTTTCAACCTTTTTTAACTTTTTGACGTTTATAAAACAATTTAAAACCACGCAAATCCAGAGCCCACTACAAACTTTTAAAACTTTTTACGAATAAGATTATATTATTTCTATCACGCGCGCTCGCTATGGGACCTATAGTGTAGGGGGTTAGGTGCACGGAAAGTGCTAGATAGTACAACAGCGTGATGTTATTTTCATAGCGCAACACTCCAGCGAGCGCGCGTGATAGAAAATAGTATGTGCAACTCGTTCGGAAAAGTTGCCATAGCGCCACTTGGGCGTCCGCGTGGCGCTATTGGCAACTTTTCCCCACTAGTTACACAATGTACTATTATATTATTAGAAAAATAAAACAACTGAAATCTTTGAAATTTAAGCTTTTCTTAAAAAAATGCATGTGCTTCGTTTTTCATGCCGGTGAGTGTATATAACTTAGCCACTAACATTAAATCAACAGATAAAGAAAAAAATTAATGACCTACATGTGGCTTTAAGAGAATAATAATTTTAAAAAAATTGATATGTTAAAAAGAATAGTTTCAGAGTAATTTGGATTCTGCTTCATTCAGGGGTTGTATTTTTGTTGTTTAAATTACAAATATTTTTATTTGCTTTTTTTTTTACTTTTATTTACAAGGCATTATATAATTCAAATAAGATTTAAAAATTTTCCTAAAATTCTCATCAGATAGAGTCATGTTCTTTGATAGCTCTAGATCAGCAGTCAGCAACTGGCGGACCGCGGTCCAGGTCCGGACTGCGGAAAGTAAAATACTGGACCGTCAAAAATTTTTTGAAAGTATAAATAACTCAAATAAATTATTTAAAAAATTTGTTTTCTACGTTTGAGTGCCACTCTTATCATTTTTTCTAGTATTTACAATTATGTGACTGATCTGAGTTCTTAATGGCAGTAAGCAGATTAAATTTGAGTGCAAATTAAAATAAAAATATTAGTAAGAATATGAATTTTTTTTCTGGACCTCGTAAAAAATTTTCAAAATTATCCGGACCCCACCTAAAATTACTTGCCGACCCTTGCTCTAGGTATTCTAAATGATATTGCTTATTTGATATTTATAATAACCTAGAGAGTGGTATGTCTTCATCTGATAAGAATTTATTTAAAATCTTTAGACTTGTTTGAATTAGTTTAATACCTTTTTAAAGTAAAATTTGTATTTCCATTATTTTGACATGGCCTTTACTTTTAAAAATCCATTGCGTCTTAAAATATTTATACTTCATTTTGAAACACGTTGTTTATTGTTAATCAATTTATAACTACAATGTATTCTCTTAATTCTATTTTGATATAATTTTATATATTCTTTATTCAAATTATATTTATTATAGGTAAAAATGTTGAAGATAATACAACTGATGCCATAAATATGAATGCCGAATTGCAAGAAAATGAGAATTGCCAACCTATAGGTAAAATTTGTTTTCTTCTTCAAATTTTAACCTCGTTTTCTCTGGTAATTAATATAAAAATTCTGACTAGAATTCTTATATACTAATTTTAGGTGCTACTGGAGACACCATAGAAATTATAAGTGACAGTGACGATGATGATGTTCGTCTAGATGTGACTATGGAAGAAATTGTAGACACTGGATCTCCTTCCACTATTGATAATATTAATGCGCAAGAAGGTAAGAGATAGAAATGTATTTATTTTTGATACTGTTTTATTAATTGTTTTCAGACGTAAAAAAAGAGGAAGTAATTAAAGGGGCGATTGAAGACCCAGAATTAATAGTTGAAGAAAATATTGAAAAACGTAATACAGAAGAGTACAATATGCCTACAACCCAACAAATTATTGGAGATGAATTGTTAGAGCTACTCAGGGAAGTGGAAGTACCTTCTGTTGCACCTTTAAGCACATGTGCCAGAAATATACAAAAAACAAATAACAAGAAGGATATAAAGGAAGCTGATGAAATATTCAAAATGCTTCTGGAAGAAAGTACTTCGGATATAAGCGATTCTGAAATCAGTGACGAGTAAGTGTGAAAATTTTAACAATTACTGTAAATCATTTATTTTGATTTATGGGAAGTAAAACTGCAAAATATTTTTTAGCAATATAAGCTTAAGTCAAAGTGACACAGACTTGTTTGAAAATGTAAGTAAAAGCAGGAAATTAATTGTCACCAAAAATGAGGAACCAGTACGAGATGACATAAAGGATTTGTTAGAAGTGTTTGATGTAAAGGATTGTTATGTTTCTCTTGAAAAATTACAACTGGAAGCTCATGAAGTTGTTAAAGTGAATAAAGATGACTCTATAGATAGGTAAAACTGAGTAGATCAAAATAAGGTTTATGTGCATATTTTAATAATTAAACATTTAATTTCTCATATATTTGTAGATTATGTGACTTAACCAACATTATCGGTAAAAGGAAACATGGAGATTCACAGAAAATACCTCAGTTGAAGAGAGTAAAAAAAAGGGTTGTGTCTAATAAAGGTACTTCGGATTCAGAATCATTATCTGATTATTCACATTCCGACTCTGACAGTGCACGACATGACAACTCAACATTTTCAACAAACCTTAATCCACATGTAGGACATAAATTAGATGACTTGCTAGCAAATGAGATTTGCAATGATTTGAAAAATGATTCAAGTAATGAGAGCACAGATGTTGATTCTGATGATCCAAATAAAACTTCCGAAAAGACAAAAAGTGGGGATAAAGGGAAAATTGTATCTGACATTCGAAGCAAGGTAATTTTTTAGACACTGAAAAACGGTAATACTGATGAAGTAGCATGGATTATCAAAGCTGTAAAGTATCTTTTTAAATGACCTTTATAAAACTTACTAACTTTACTAACTTTCTCACAATATAGTTGCTTGATTTAATAAGGCAATAACATTAAAAGTAGTTTATATTTTGTTATTTGAATTCTGTGGTGTAAATAAAATATTTATTTTTGCATCTTATAATCAAATTTAGCAGACTGCTCAATATTTTGCAGTATTTTGTATTTGAAGTGTGGTTGCAGTGCCCAATTCTCTTTAAAATTGTACTTGTTAGCAGTGGCGGCCCGTGGGTTTGACTACAGGGGGGGGCGCATTTTGAAGAGAGAACATATATGATAGGAACTGCGGGTGGAACGGGGGCGGTAGACCCTAGCTTAGCGCCGCAGGCGAAAAATTTTGAGGAATTTCAAGGTCATTCTGTTTTGCAAGTACATACCCCAAAATGAATACTGTCAGTGTGTAGGGGGTAAACATGGGCATCACTAAGATGTTTATCTAAAATGGGATCAATTTTTGCCCTATAGTCTATCAGTTCTAAAAATACCCCTTTGTTTAGCGAGTCACTTTTTTCATTATGTCCACGAAGAGGAAGGTTACAAGTACCACATAGTTTTAAGATATCTATAATTTTTTAAAAAAGCAATCGATATTTCTTAACTGATTCGTTATGACTATTTATTTGTTCTGCATAAGCACTACTTAAAAAAAAAGCAATAGTTACTCTGCCTAAAAGTAAAAAACTCACCAAGTTATTTTTGTGTTTAGGAGAATTTTCATGTTTCTTAATTTTGTCCGGTAAATGTTTCAAGTCAGAAACTCCAGTTTTCGTCCAACATAGAAAACAAAAAAATCTATTTGTTTCGTCACAACCACACAACTATAGGGTCTTATCATAAATATTTTTATCAAATTTGCGATTAAAAGCCAGCCTACTTTTGCACTCTTTCTGCACCTGAACTAAATTCAACACTGGTGTTGGACGTCCGTTATTTTTCAATTCGACTTTTTCCTCTAAACTTAAATTACTAATAACAAGTTTTTTTATTTCACAAACCCTCATTTTAAACTTAAACTTATAAAATATAATTTCTTAAAAAGCGCCAAAGCAAAAACAAATCACGTATAAACACACTACAGTGAAACGGGTTACTGCCATATGGAGTCCAAAACAAAGCGCGCGAACCTATCGCCACCTATCCCCTCCACATTCCAATTTGTCGCATCATATGTAGAAATATGCTTGCACGATGGATTCAAGATTTCACCGTCCGCGATGGAGTGGGGATTGCGCGCGCGGTCAAACATAACTCTTTGGTACGATCATAGATGGCAGATGGCATAAATCTGAGCTGCGTTCACGGAGTACATGCACTTTATGCAACCAACCTAACATTCAAGACATATTGAATGCATGCTATTTAGGTTTTTTATTGATTTAAATAAATAAATTATTTTAAGTTTACAGTTTGAAAATATCTTGGGGGGCGGAGTCCCAGAGTCCTCCTTCATGAGCCGCCACTGTTTGTTAGTCTAGTCAGTGGTCGTCAAACTCATGATATGATGTTGACTGATGAGTCAACAGAACCAAATATCAACAGTACGATTGAACGGACCACACACACAGTTAATGGAATTCGGCAACTCATCAAATTCTTGGGTGTGGTGGTCCTTTCTTTTGAGAGCCAAATTTTTTAATCATAAACTTAATTAGGATACTCCCAAGCTTTCCTTTGCTAAAAACGTTCTCAATCTGATTGAAGTGTATTCGCTGAGATTGACCCCTTCAAACTCTCCCATCCACACTGGTATACATGTTTCGTCTATCATTCATCCTCTCTATATGTCCAAACCATACTTTTCTCAATCCTCGGCACTACATCTTCTTTCACTCCACAACATTCTCTAAAATTTGCTTAATAAACTACTTAAAGTTTTAAGTCATAGTTAAACTATAGGTACGTTGAATAAAACTTGATCATACTTGATAACGATATTATTTATTGATAAAATTAAATTCCTTACAATGTACCTTACAACGTCCATACAATTAAATCATGACAATGACTTACAAACACTACCGTGAACAGTGGCCTTGCATCTCCTTCGAAAGTTTCTGTAAGTCAGATTTTTATGTTGTTTTCAATTTTAAGCACAATTCCAGTTCTCAATAAAAAGACGACTTCAATTTACTCTTGATAAGGTTCATGCTTGAAAATGATTGTTTGCATAAATATGTAGACCCGATTAAGGAAAGAACATCAAACTCTAATTTTTTCAGTTGATTATATGAGTCAGTAACACTATTTCAGGTGTTAAAAAAGAGCCGCATGTGGCTTGCGAGCCGCGGTTTTCTGACCACTGATCTAGGTTGTTGTTTTTGCTTGTTTATTGGATATTGAAAACTAATTTGAAAATTGAAATTGCTTATGCACCACTCAGATTGGAATTTTTTACCATATCAAAAATAAAATAACTATTTTACTATAATATTATGACAATCATATATTTTCTAGCACTTACTAAGCAAAGAAGAGAGAATAAAAAAAGCTTGGAAAAACGATCCTCTATTAAGAGGAAAACTGACATCTGATGATGAAAGTACATCCGACTCTGAAAAATCGTCTAAAAGAAGAAAAGCCTTACGAAGCAGGTATTTAAAAAAAATTCATAATTTCATTTATTTGTAATACAGTACAAGCTCGATAATACGGCACTATAAAAATTTACTCTATGTCGGATTACTGGAAGTGCCGGAGTAATGGATGCTAGGTTTAGAAAAATTTAATATTGATGAACCTTGAAATTATAACAAACGAATAATTAAGATTAGAACGCATTGTTTGAAAAAATTAAATTTATTCAAATAAAAATATGTACATTCTAGAGCAGAGGTCGGCAAGTAATTTTAGATGGGGTCCGGATACTTTTGAAAATTTTTAACGAGGTCCAGAAAAAAAATTCATATTATTTTTTTATTTTAATTTGGACTCAAATTTAATCTGCTTACTAATTAAGAACTCAAAACATTCGCACAATTGTAAAATACTAGAAAAAATTATAAGATTGGCACTTAAACGTAAAAAACATTTTTTAAATAATTATTTGAGTAATTTATACTTTCAAAAAATTGTTGGCGGTCCAGTATTTTACCTTCTGCGGTCCGGACCCGAACCGCGGTCCGCCAGTTGCCGACCCTTGTCCTAGAGGATATATGTATCTAATGGAAAATTATTTTGTAAACAGAATCCCTACCATAATTAAGCTGAAATATATAAAAAGTTTATTCTATAGGATCGGAAGGCATTGTTTTGTAAAGGAATCCTTAAATGCTGGTTTGCTTCTTACAATGATACATTTTGTAAACGATATTCTCCCTTAACTTCCTTAATTCGAGCTGAGTCTTTTCGGTAGCATTATTTTCTGCCCAACGAATGCTGATATCAATTGCTGTAACCATCTTCAGACTTTACTGTGTTTGCTACAAGGACTGAAAAGTCTTCTTCCAAGGAATTGGGTTTCGAAATAGCATCGTTTACTATTTCTTCGTCTGTCAACATCTTGTAAATTCAATTTTTTTAGTGTTTTGAAAATATCCTCTTCTCGAATAACACCATTCAATAGAATTTTCTTTTTATAATGGGTCTTTATCATTTGTATTACGTTCTGATCCGTGGGCTGAAGAAGAGGCGTGCAGTTAGGAGGCAGAAAAAGAGTTTATATTAGACCATCTCTTGAAGTTTGGTCCATGTCCAGGGGCATTGTCCGGAACAAGTAGAACTTTTAGTGGAAGATTTTTGCTTTTCAAGAACTGTCATACTTCAGGGACAAAATTATCATGAAACCATTCGACAAAAAGATCTTTAGTCACCCATGCCTTATTCTGATTCTTATATATGACTGGAAGACGAATATTATTAAATGCCCTTGGACATTTTAGTTTAGTTTAGTTTAGTTTAGTTTAGTTTATTGACCATTTTTATATACAGTTAAGTACATGTATAGTCACAGACGTTTAGTTGTTTTAACAAAGTCACTTACACTATAAAAACAATGTTCCAAAAGGAAATTTTTAGTTAATTTGTAAAACTCTTTAAAACTTAACACATCTATATTACAATTTTTATAATAATATTTAAAATTGTATAATTCTACATCTAACTTATTTTGTTTTGTGGTGTGAATCCTTGAAAACTGATATTTCAAGTTTTTGGCATTTCTGGTGTCATAAGTATGAATATCAGAATGTTTGAAAAAATTATCCTAATTTTTATGCTTTTGCTATAAACAAAAGCTTCAAGTTATGGGTGCCGGCAGCATTAGCACAGGGCATAATTGTGACTTTGTCTTTACATATTTTTCTGCCAGGAGTATCCAATTTATCTGTGTAGGCATGGGTTTTGTTCAGTAAAACTCGCCAAAATAGTCTTTTGTCTGCATTATACACTTGATTCGCCGTCAAACCAAGATTCTCTACTTTTTTTTTTAAACTTTTCTGCAAATGGAACAACGGCTGCCACATCACTAGGTAATCTTTCTCCAGTGAGGGTGAGCTTACGTATTTTTATATCTCTTGAATTTTTGAAACCATCCATCACTTACTTTAAAATTGTTGTTTTTATAAATCTTCTCATAAAACACTAAGGTCTTTTGTCGAATGATATCCCCAGTGATAGGTGTATTATGTTGACGTGCCTGTTAAAAAGCACGTATACAGAGCGTCATCCATGCGTGTATGTTCTCCACTTTTTAAAATTGCAGATTTTTTGTTCCCGAATCAGCTGCGTTAAGGAAAGTTTAGATCGCTTCTTGATATCATATATCATTGCCCTTCCGACGTTGTATTCAAGCGCTATGTTTACTTCTTTTTCACCCTTATCCATTTTTTTTAAATTTCCATTTTCGCACTTAAACTTAACGTCGCATGTTTACGTTTACCGCTTTCTATCATTTTCAGTCACATACAAAACTGGCCCAAACAACAGGTCTTAACTCGACTGTTTTAAGTGCCTGACTGCAGAGCGGTAGCGGGGCGAGGGGAAGAGATAAGGAGTAACGAGCAGCTGGTGTGCCGGATTATCGAATATACATTGGGTTTGACTGACGGATTATAAAGTTGATGGAGATCTGGCAAATATGACGGATTACTGGATGTGTCGAACTATCGAAATCCAGATTATCGAGCTTGTACTGTAGTTAATTTTGATAAAAATGCAAAATAAAACTAGTTTTTGAGTCCACACGATTTGAGATATGAAAAAAAGTTAGGTTACGAGAAACTTTTGCTTTAAAAGAATGAAAGCTGAATTATCTAAAATAATTTATAAAAATACAACTAGAGTAAATTCAATTCAGTTAACCAGATATTTAATTATTCAAATTCAAGTTGTGGTAGTTCCACTTTCTTTTTACTTTTATTGTAGTATGTATTTCAAAACATCCAAAAATTAAATTTTGAGTTTATTTTTTTTTTTTATTTAATGATTCTTGATATTAAAATTTTCAGTTTGCTATATGTATTAAACAGGGTGTCAAAAAAAAGTTGGTTAAACATCATGATTTTTTATAATGAGATTTTCCATATGGCATATTTTATTAAGGTGTCTCTTTTTCAAGACGAACGAGGGGACTAAATTACAAGTAAATATAATAACTTCATTAATAACAATGTTTAAGGCATTCGTTTGGATGTGACCTATAGTGACACAATCTTTTTATGTAATTGTAATCACAAAATCGAAATGGGAAAGGAAAGCTATAGCACCCTTTGGCCCCTGTTCCCTTAAATTTTCTTGTACACACTTATTGTTTGTTTTTATCAAGTATTGGTTTAATTTTTTTCTTTTCATATGGTCTTTTGACATCTTTTAATTTATGAACTAAGTCTTGCAAAAACATCATTGGATGGTATGATTCAGATATCGTTTCGCATATTATCAAACATTGAAATTATCATTACAATTTGGATTTAATTTTTATTTATTCTTTGCATCAATTATGTGGTTTCACTTTAATATTTGTGGAAACAGATTGCAAAGGGCAAAAATTAAAAATTTGGTTTTCTCATTAAAAAAAACCAAATGGGTATGGCTGAGGTGGTAAATTTATTGTATATTTAATTTAAATTAATTATTATCGACTTTAAATCATGTGATAAGTAAATATTTTGATATTTGTATTTTTTGGTATATTTTACTATTTCGTTTCTGTGAATCGCCCAAATAAAAGTATAAGTAATTTTTTGTTGAACAATTTGCTGGTTGTTGCCACTTTGTCAGTTTAGAGACTTCTTAACATTTTGAGATTCATAATGCTCTCTTCAGAAGAAAATCTGAAATTTATATTTTTAATTTTTGTTTAAATTCTTTCAAATTTTTATTTTCACTTTTTTCGATAAATTTATAATATTGATTTTTTATGATAGTCTTATTCTTTTGGTTCTATTTCGATGTTATGTTAATCATATTTCTAAAATTGAATTAAGAAAATATTCAACCAAATCTTTCCAGTCGATTTTTCAAAACACCAATTTTTTAAAGAGTGCCATAATTCATTCAATTATTTTAATCAAAATTATACAAAGATGCAAAGGATAAAAGATTCTAGATGTTTTAAAGAAACAATGGAGTCATCAATAGAAATATTTTGTATTTTGAAAATGAGAGAACTAAATGAAAAACGACGTGGAAAGTCTTGTTATTTTCGCAAAAAGGTTTTGTAACTAACAGATTGGCCTTTTTTTTTGTGGCACACTGTATAATACATTAAATTTTACTAGATACGAACATGACACCGATTTCAATATTGTAACTGAAGAAAATGATTCAGACAGTGACAATTCACATACAAATAGTGCAAATAAATTTCGACTTGAAGATAAAATCATAAGCCCTATAAAGAAGAATATACCCATATCTGACAGTAGTAGTGACACAGATAGTGACATTGAAATGTAAGTAAAATCTTACGCAGTACAATATAAATATTATTTGTGAAACTATTATTTTTGATATTTCATCTAGAATTACTTCACATCAACAAGTAACGCCCCCAAAGAACTCAGAATTAGGAGATGAATTAGGACCGGGTAGTTCACAGAAAGGTAGACGTAACATTAGAGCCCTCATGTCAGACGAGAGCCTTGCCGAAGCCACACAGAGAGCAAACAAAGAGGAACAGGAGAGAATTGAGAGATTAGAAGGCAGGCACAGGATCAAAGAGAGCCTCAGTCAATCTTTTACTCAGTTAATAGAGGAGGATACTTTAGTCTTAGATGTGGATGAATTAACAGGGGAACCTCTGGTTAAGGTACACCCCAAATTAAGCCAAAGATTGAAGCCGCATCAGAAATCTGGTATCCAATTCATGTGGGATTCTTGCTATGAAAGTCTTGAAAGGCTTAAAGTGGATGAGGGCTCGGGATGTATTTTAGCACATTGCATGGGTTTGGGAAAAACATTTCAAGTAAGTGGAACAAATTTTACAATTATTGTAGTAAATGTAATAGGCAACTGTAAAATTACCACTGAATTTGTAAATACAAACTAATAAATAATTTATTAACCTTTTCATTGTGACTGCCGATTCAGCAAACTGTAGTGTAGTGCATCTGCGAGTGCGCTATACATGTTTTTATACTTCTCACACTGACGGGAAAATACATTTTAATAAGCCTGATGGTGACCGATTTTGATCAGGCCATCGGCCACTACTGGATGCTCGTTGCTGAATTTTTTTATGCTATACTGATACAGAGCCTTCTTAAATGATTACAAGCCACGTGACCAGTAATTTTGTTTGGAACAGTAATTTTATTTCCTTTATTTTGGCAATTAAATTTCAATAAAATTAAAAATTATGGACACAAAAAGATTGAGATTACATTAAGGAGGTTTATCAGGTACGGAGGTACGTCTAAAGTCTAACAAAAGTTTCTGTAGATTTGCTAGTGACTAAAGTAGTAAGCCTTTAGATTTGTCAATGTTGCACTTGGCTGGCGCGCTCGGCTCGGCATTGGCTCGCTCCTGCTCGATCATTCTGTTTGTTTGGACACCTGCGAATTTCAAATAATACGCTACGTCGAGACCGCGGCGTTGCCGCTATCACGCATATGGAGGATAAGTTAGTCAACGACAGCAGTTTGAAGGAAAATTATTATAAATCATGTATCTTACAAGTACCTAATCGATTTCTACAAGCTGTCATATGGTTCCTTAGATATCGGTTTCCCATTTATACAAGTTGCTGTGGAAACTATTTGTTGAAAGACCAAAAAAATCTGCATTCTCATAAGACTCTGTACTAAATCGTGAAAAATTATTTTATTAATATCTCGTCACTACACTAGTCATATAATTTTTTTTGAGGATTTTCTTCATATTAATAAGCTTATATTAATTTTTTTATGAATATTTGTTCGTCAATTCCAAATCAAATAATGTTTAGGATAGTTAGTTTTAAATTAGTTGTTTAGTTAGTAGGAAAATAGTTGTAACTTGTAGCATTATTATTTTAATCCTTTTTCGTTTGCTATAACTTTAATTGGCGCGGATATACCACCCAAACGAATTATTTTGTCGCAACTGCGCAAAACGAAGATCGAAAAACGTAGAAGTCGACTAGAACATGTCGTAGTACCAGGCCTGGTGGTGTGGTGTTTTATTGTTGTTATCGTTGATTGAAAAACTATAGTTATTTTTGAAGAGAAATCGTTGTTGACCCCCAAATTGCAGAAGATTGAAACCAGTGGTAAGTTGTGACATTATTCTCATTTGTTTGGGTGTTCGCCTAAAAATTTCACAGAAATACAGCCTTTATCGATTCGCGCAGATAATTCTTTTAATTTTTGAATTATATATACAGATAAACCTCCTTAAAACACACTACTTTGTTTCAGTTTTGATTACCTAAGCTCGGTGGTCATCTGGCTTGTAAACATTTATGAAAGCTCTGTATTTCTTTTGCTAACTGATATTGAAAGAGTACTAGTATGATATTTTTTCCAATAAGAACTTTCTAAAGTATATGTGAATTGATAATTTTTGCATCTTTCTTCCACCATTTTATTGTTTTTCATATTCGTTGAACTCAGCAATATATCTCATTTGTCTACATCTGTTGCTATAATCTGTAGTAGGATCGTATTCGATGCAAAGTAGAGCTAAAAGTTGTTGGTCTATTATCAAAGGAAAATCGTGTCATCACTTTTAGGAGGCTTAAGATGAACCATTTCAAATTTAAAATGAAATTGAATGTAAAATCTGAAATACCGCTGCATACGCACTGTGTTTTGGTTGTAGCTGTAGTCGGCCAGGTGGATCGAGTCTACGAAGTGGTCGGTTATACGTCAAATACTAACCTGCAGAGCTTGGTCGTAATTCAGAGAGCGCCTCCAAAAAAGAAGTAAAGAACAGTGGCGCGTATAGAGGTAAAATTTAGTGCATATGTGGAATTTAAAAAACTAATTGGATTTATACTAAATTACATTTAAAATAAATAGTTTATGAAAATAAAAGGAATTTTTGTAGGAACAAGGGTGTCAGACGTGAACTGATCCCTTCATAATGTATAAAGAAATTATTCAATTTCTGAAACCCTTAAAAGCGTATTGCACTGGGTCCCTTGACAGGCAATGATATTTGCATAGAATATGATTCTACTATAGTATAACACGTGGTTTCTCAATCTCTTTTCCTGTTTGGTTTTAACTTTTCTCATCCGACTCTTTTAAAGTGGCGTTAGCATAGTCATTTCTCTTTTGTCTTTTTCTATTTTTTGCGTTAATGATGGCATAATCTTTCTGTTTCTTTTCACCGTTCCACAATATTTCATTTTATGGTCAAACAAGGTTTGATGAAAGACGAGATTTGTATACCAGTTATCACTGTATTGTTTATTATGCCTTCTGGTCCAACATTTGTGGACTTTCCTCCTTTTTTCGACAGATCTTTTATTTCTGTATACATTAAAAAATATAAAATAAAGCCAATCAACTATTTCAAATAATAATAATAATAATAATAATAATAATAAGCCATATTTTAAAGAAAACAAGTTTACAAAATTTTCTTCTTAAAGTGATCAAAGAATCACCAGAAATATTTTTACTAACAATAAGTTACAATGATAAGTAAGTAAATTAAACTAGAAATGTCTGTAAATAATTAATATTTATTCATAGAATTTGTATAAAAATATTTGAATAAGGGATATGCTTCCCATACAAACGTTTTAACACTTTTCTCCATTATAAATATGTATTCTAGGTAATAACATTACTTCACACATTATTTTCGTATGAAGAAATGAATACAAAACATGTGTTAGTTGTATGCCCTACGTCAACAGTTGCCAATTGGAAGAAAGAAGTCAAAATAGCCTTTAAACATTTTTCAGATGAAAAATTAAATATTATTACTATTGTGTAAGTATTTATGAGACGTTAGTGAAATTACTATAAAAATTTGTTAATTAATAATATCTAATAAAATTTTAATTCTATTGCAGTGATAAAAGGGAGGTGTCTCAAAAATACAGTATTGTAAAACGGTGGTATTTACTTAAGAAGTGTGTATTGGTGCTAGGCTATGAATGTTTTGAAACTCTAACAAATGAAACGAAACTGGAAAAAGTTGGTTTTCACCTGAAGGAGAGAATGTTAGAAGCCTTAATAGATCCAGGTAAATAGTAAACTTGATTTTAAAATGGATCAATCATAATATTTAATTATTATAGGACCCGACTTAGTGATATGTGATGAAGGGCATTTACTAAGGAATAAAAAAGCCTTAAAGACACTTGCATTAAATAAAATCAGGACTAAAAGGCGGATCGTTCTCACTGGAACCCCTCTGCAGAATAACTTATTAGAATGTGAGTAATTTCGGTTATTTGAAAATTTATAGTTTTAATTAATCTATTCATTTCAGATTACTATATGGTCAACTTTGTCAAACCTAATCTTTTGGGTAATATGAAAGAATACAAGACAAATTTCGTAAATCCAATAACTAATGGGCAATATGAGGACTCGACTTCAGAGGATATTAAATTGATGATGAAGAGAACTCATGTGTTACACAAACTACTAAAGAAAACTATTCAGGTGAAAAATTATTTGCATGTATAGGCATCTTCTCTCAGGTGTTTCCTTAGAAACAAAAAAAAAAAATATTTTTAATCGGAAGATGACAAAGAGCAACTTGGCATAAAAATATGTTTGCTTTTTTGAACAAAAATTGAATTTTGAAAAAAAAATCCATTTATAAAATTAACTATTTTTGAAATATTGATACTTTTTGTTTATTGCTTCATAACAAAAATAATGGTTTTAGACTGGGAAGTAGTGACAGATTTTCAGTTGTCATTTTAATCAGACTGCCTTTCAGGGGGCTTCATAATGCATATATTTTCATTAAAAAAAGCAGGGTGGGCCCAAAGGCTTTTATAGCCCTGTGGACTTTCGACGGTGGCGGCTCGTTACAGTGAGAATAGGTGAAGCACATTCATTGATTTACTATACTCCGCGATTGAAATTATAGAGTGTGACTCATCCCTACCTTTTGAACTACTTAGTAAGGAAGATGAAGCGTGCGGGGAAGGAAAATCCATTGGCGTGTCTGCGTAAAAGGCAAAAAGATATAAAAAATATGGAAAAAAGATAATAAAACATAACATCTAATATTTTTTATGGTTTGCTACAACCGGCAATTTGATCCATTTTAATTATTACAAGTTTTAAAATGTCCCGGTTGTGTTTTTTTAATTTATAAATTTATTATAGCCTCGGAATTAGACCCCTCGCCTACACTTAACTATGGCGTTTCTAAGGACGGCTAAATCTAGTCCGTTTGCATCCACTAAAAAAGCATTTCCCTATTCCCTACCAAGTGCAAAAGACAGAGATAGAATATAGATCGACGTTCAGTGTAACTTAGTCTATAGACGATTATAGATTCTATCGATGGGCGTAAAGAGCGGCACATCATTTAATACAAGTCAAATAATATTGTACTGTTATAAAAATCATTTTATATTTTATACGCGTTTTTATATTATGTTTGAGTCACTCTCTATAATTTCGACCGTGAGGTATAAAAAGAGAAAAAAAAAGCGCCACAGGCGAAAATTTTTAAGGTTCAACGGTTTTAAATGAATCTGGAAATTTTTTGTTGCATTTGCAATATTTCTGAAAAACTGACGTTCGTGAGAAGGATATTCATTTAGATTTGATAAAAAATAGAAATATTAGTTCGGCTTGTGGACTTCTGCGAACATTAACGCACACCGTACATGTATGTTCCAAATAAGCTTTGTGGTTAAATCCCCCCCTTATTCCACACTGCCGACTTTACACCCTCAATTAAACACGGCATACAGAAAAGTTTTTTTAAATAAACACTTCCACACAACCACTTATACTCCGAATGCCATTCTTTCCGAAACCTCCGAACGTACACATTGTCTTTTGATTTTCCCTTTTTTCCATATTCAATAAAATACATACTGGATCATACATAGGAAACATTCCTACAATTATTATAGAAAACAAATATTAATTAAGAACAGTTATAATCGTGTACTGGACGGCGCATATCGTATAAACTGTTTAAAGGCAAGCAATGGGCGATGACAAATGCTGCTTCAATATCTGCGTCACTCGTTCCCCCACGCCGTAATTTTCTGCTATGTTGGCCGCTTCGTTGCCATGACAACCGCCGTAAACAACGCTTTGAAGAGACGCGGAATCAGACTGTTTTGATCTGCGTCACTTGCGTATACTAAACGTTGTACGGTACAAGGTTGATGTTCGCTCCCAACGAAGGCAAGGTTCTTTTGGAAGGTGTTCACCGCGCACTATTCTGTTTATTTCTGCGTATTAGACAAAGAAACACAATACATTTTCAATATAGAATTATACCTAGTAGTAGTAGTAAAGGGGCGGCCTCAGCCTGGCAATTAGGCCACTAGTGGGCCCTTTTTGCCGACCCCGCCGTCCCATCACCTAACCACTCTTTGCCTCTGACCCTCCTCGAACCTATCCGACCCCCTAATGAAGGTCAGGATTTTGGTCCATGGTAGGTCTCACCTCAACCCCTTGCAGCTCTTCAGCACCAAAGATTTTATGTCTTATTCTCCCAAAGGCTGCACACTGTCCCAGAAGGTGGACAGGGGTGTCCTCCCCTTCGCCACATTTCGGGCATAGAGGGTCCTCCTCAATTCCTATTAAGCTTAAATGCCTCCTAAGTCTGCAGTGGCCTGTCAGAACCCCCACCATTTGGTTTAGGGCTGTTCGACTGAGGCTCAGCAGCCATCTTGTCTTGGATTTGCTAGGTCCATATATAAAACTATGGGCCTGCCTGCATCCTCTATTTCTCCTCCAATCCTGACCTAAAGTTTGATAGGCCCACTTATTGAGGGCCCCATTAATGCTGCCTTGTGTGATACCTAAGATTGGTTCAGGTCCCTGTCCAGGTCCCCTGGACCCGAGACGAGCTAATTGATCTGCCCTCTCGTTACCAGGGATGCCCATATGGCCTGGGACCCAAACCAACTCTACTTCTTTTCGTCTGGCCAATCACTCTAGAGCGTCTCCATATTCCTGGACAAGGGCAGACCTAGTCCTCGGGGAGCTAACCGCTCTAAGTGCGGCCTGACTGTCGGAGCAGATAAAAATCTTCTCCTCTGCACCATTCCTTACCTCCTCCTTGCTTGCTACCAAATAGCAAAAACCTCGGCCTGGAAGATTGTAGCATACATACCCAGTGAAAGCTTTCCTGGATGCCGCTGCCTTCCAGATAAATTCCTGCTCCTGAAAACTCGTCTTCTACCCGACATCCATCAGTATAACACACTAGGGATCCCGGGGAGAACATATCACCATCCTGCTTCCACTGTTCTCTCGAGGGGAAAGTGGTGACATACTTCCTTCCTAACCTAAGCCGGTCCTCTGCTTCCGTAACCCTCATGGCGGATATTGGGATGTCCCTCTCTGCCCTGAGGGCCATGGCGTTCCAGGAGACCGTCCATTACTAGGCACCATAGAAGCGGGGCAGCTGCCTTGAGGGCATCCCACTCCCAGGTCCCTACGACAGTCCCCCATGACTACACTAACCTTCCTTTCCTTCAATGCCGTACTCACCCATTCGACCACGATAGGCGATGTGCCCCGGTCTTGGAGCGAGTTGCATATGGTCTCAGTTTTTGCCCTGTCGAAGACACCTTCTATATCAAAGAATATTGCCAATACGACCTCTTTGTACTGAAGGGCCTTCTCTACTTTATGTGTGACACTATGTAAGGCCTTCTCTGTGGACCTGCCCCGCCTATATGCGTGCTGGTTCGTGTGGATTGGGTATCTACTCAACGCCCCATCCACCAGATACCTGTCCACAATCCTTTCCATCGTTTTAAACAGAAAGGATGTGAGACTGATAGGCCTAAAAGACTTCGCTCCCAGCCTTGGGGATGAAGACCACCTTGGCTGACCTCCAAGCCTGTGAGACGTAGCTCATCGCCTGGCCCGGAAGACCCTCATCATACATGGCAAGAGAATGTCCAGGCCCCTCTGCAACAACGACGATTATACCTAAATTATAAAATTTATTGTAATTTTGCACAACCAAACGGAAATTTTAGGTGAAGCAGTGCGCCACTTGCGTCACCTGACGAACCGCCACTGACTCGATTGAAAAAGAATCTTTCCACATTTCCAGAGAGGCTGCTAATGAAGAGTATACAAGTTTTTTTTATAAAATTGCTGAAACAAAATGACAACATTCCATTTGCGTATACCCAAGTATATCTGCATTGCAAAAATAGTAAAATTGTGGAATTATATTCCTTGATATTAGGAAATGAAAAATTAATTGAAATATTGTATACTTTTCATTGACAGCTATGTTTACTTTTTGTTTGGAAGCTTGCCTTTTGGCCACAATTTGGGCAGGCGGTGCGGGAGGGAAGCCTATGCTTATACATGGTAGTTTCGTTGTAGTACCAACCTTACATAAACTAATTTGAGCGAACTAAATATAATATACACGACTGAAATTTATACAACACATATTAGCTTGCATATATTTTTCGTGTTTAATGCACTGCCATTAACTTTTTATTTGAATAAAAGTGTCTATTTATTCATTAAAAGCTTGTAAAATTATGGATGAAATCTGGCAACATTGCCATGACGTGGTGGTAAAAGTTGAGTCAACTGTCATTTCTGTCAACTTTGCACTTATTCTGTAAACATGAATGAACATCCAAGGTACAAAGGAAAAGTAATGACTGAAAAGCAATATAAAATGCGTATGAAGAACAGAATGTGGATTGATGAGAAAAAAGTAAAATGTGCAAACCGAGAATCCATATGATAACTATCAAGAAGCTCAGTGTATGATAGTGAGACGTTGCCTTGTCAAATTGAAGATTATAACAGAACATTTATACTGTTCGTTTTGCAAAGAGATCCTTTCAATTTTTGTTTCAAATTGCTACTATATTGCATTAGATCACGAAAAATTTATTTAATATTAATTATTACTACATATATTTTCAACTGGAATAATTTTTTTGTCTATAAATACAGCGTACAGTGTTGCCATATCTCCTTTAATTGGATCAGATGTTTGTTCAAATTTGTCAAAACGTTATATATTCATTCCATTATCTCAATAATTACATTGTAAGTGCATATTTTTATTGTTTTAAAATGTTTAGTAATATTTAATTCTTTTATTACAATTTTATTTTCCCGATCCTAACCATTTTTAAGAGCAATATTCACGTTTGATTAAAGTTTTTTCCCCAACTCCCATAAGAGCCTGTGTAAAAGAGCATAATTTTTAATATCATTTTTCAAAAAAACTACATTGGCAATCGATATGATATTTTTACACGAGACAGTTTGCATATTTATTAACAGATTTCAATTGCTTTGAAAACTTTCTTACCATTTTTTTTTCGGTATGGAACCTCCTTAATAACTGAAAACTCACTTTTGGATACCCATAATGACTTTTTTTTTTGTCATACCATAATAACCCTTTGGGCCAACCCTAATGGTATGTCTGTGTTTTTCCGAAGGACTTTTTATATTGAAATTCAATATGAAATACATGGCAACCTGACTAAAATTGTAGCAAACCGTATATTTTGTGAATAAATGAAAATTCACTTCTCCAAAAAAATTCCCTTGAGTCTTTTTTTTTCATGAAAATATATGCATTAGGACTGAAATTTTAAGTACATATGATGCTATACTAGCGAGCCAAACAACAGGTTTCTTCGAATCACAACTCTTACATGACTTCCTTGTTTTTGATAAAATTTCTTCAAAATTGTGAACTTTTTGTCACATGAGGCGACGGCATTGAATGATTCCAATGAATGTTAAAATGGACACACGTTTGGAAAGGCTACGGTTTTGATAAAATAGTTTGCCAGCATTTTATTTGGTTTTGCCTATGACCAGTACCGATTTAAAATATCTCTTATTTTCTAAGGAAGTGCCAGATAGAATGTCACATCCTTTACTAATTTGTAATGCATATGTATATTTTAAACTTTAGAGAGTGGAAGATACTGAACTGAAAATATATCTTCCGAAAATAGTAGATCATGCTGTTTTCATTCAACTTCACCAAGTTCAAGTAGATTTATACAACAAGTTCTCCGAACTGGTTGCCAAAAACAGCACTAACACTAATAAAAGAGGATTCTTGAGCGATTTTTCCATTTTTCAATATATTTGTACACACCCTCATCTATTGGCGGTCATGGAAAATCTACGTAATAAAAAAATTAGAGAGAGAGACCTCATTACAGACGAACAAGAAGACAATCCTATGTGTAACATAGAAGGATGGTGGAAAGCAGTAGTGCCTGAGGATGCAGCAGAAAAAATTGAATATGGACATAAACTAATGGTTGTCAAGTCGATAATAGAAGAATGCGAGGAAATTGGAGACAAAGTGTAAGTTTTTGGATTCTCACTCCTTTTTGCTTTTTTTTATACTGAACAAATCTTAATAATTTGTTTTGATTTCAGATTAGTTTTTTCGCAAAGCTTGGGGGAATTAAATTTGATTGAACATTTCTTAGAAAAAGAAGGTACATCTAATTGTCATTCGTGGAAGAAGAAAATTGATTATTGTAGAATGGATGGGACCGTTCCACCTGCACTTCGAAGTACAATATGTGATCTATTTAACGACAAGGATAATAAAACATTAAGGTTGCTTATACAATATAAATTTCCATAATCTATTATTATTGTTGAAATAATTTTTAGGCTGTTGTTAATGTCAACGAAGGTAGGAGGTTTGGGCTTAAACTTGACGGCAGCAAATAGGGTCATTATAATGACGGTAAACTGGAATCCATCTTATGATATTCAGAGTGTTTTTAGAGTGTACAGGTTTGGGCAAGAAAAAGAAGTTTATGTATACAGACTGATTGCTTTGGTAAGTACAGAGTGATACAAAATTATTCAGATGATTAACTAAAAATAAAAAATGCCTAATACCACTTTCTCGAAAACCGACCCTTTTAAAAAATCGTAGTAGGCTTTTGTGACATCAATAAAATGATTAGTCAAATATAACCTCCTTTCAGGGCAATATTTGTAAAAAAATTGGCTTGTGGAAAATCCACAGCCTTCTCACATTTCCAGAGGTGCTAATCTGAAAAATGGGACACACTGTATATAAATCTATGATTAGAACTTTCCATAATCATTTTATTTTAAAAAAGTTATAGTTTGATATCATATAAAAGAAAAAATCAAAGCAAAAAATGATTTAAAATCTCCGTCTCATCCAGAATTTAATTTTTATTAAAAATGTAATCAAAACTCATTTATCAATTACTTTTTAGGATTCAATGGAAGAGAAAGTTTATCAAAGAACAGTGACAAAATTAGCTATAGCTCATCGTGTTGTTGACAAGCATCAGATCACAAGGCATTACAAATCTATGGATTTGCAAGAGTTGTACTCTTGCAAACCCGATGCTGATACCGAAAGACCAATTTGTAATGTACCGGAAGACAAAGTGTTGGCAAAACTGATATTAAAATTACCTTACATTTATAAACAGCACGAACATCAAGCCCTCTTGAAAAATAGGCCAGAGGACAATCTTAATGAGCATGAACTTAACGCAGCATGGGACGAATTCAAAAGGATTAAAGACGCCCCACGTAAGTTATGACAATATTCTTCTTTAATCAAATTAGTATTTTCTTTAAAAAATCATTTAATTTATCTTTAGAAATACCACCACCACAACATCTACAACCACAAACGTCATCATTGCCTCAAGTTTCATTACCCAATGGGCCAACGTATTCTATGGCTTATGATTTAACAAGACCAGTAATTTCTGCTCATAGTATCAAAAAAGTAATTGGAAGAACGGACAATGGTGAGGCTGTTTTAAGCCATTATTTTATTCCAAGGTAAAATACTATACAAAAAGTTGTTCTTTTATTAATACAGTTAAAGCTCATTATTCGCGGACCAAAAAATTGTGACCACTTCCCGTATTCACGGGTGAAAAATTCTGTATTCACGGATTCAAAACTAACGATACTTATTGTATTTTTAGAATAATGTGTATTTATTTGTCAAAATAAACAAGTAGGTATCAAAATATTTATAAACGAACAAATCTTAGTGTCGTGAAGCCGAAAGTCCTTGGACAAAAGTAGCCGCTGACACCGCTCGCTTACACCTGAGTGAAGGTTTACGGATTGCAAATGAGCTTTGTGATTTCTTCATAAAAATTGATCTGTCTCGTTTTTATAAATGGGATCCAATTGATAATGCCACATCTGAATATTAATCCGAATTAGAAGGCCTTTTAATAGCTACAAAACAAGAAAAAATCGAAAGTTCTTTAAACCATTGCCTATTAAACACATGCAACATTAGAACGTATCCCCTATATTTCCATACAAAATGCCACTGTATTCGCAGTACATTTTTGGAACATGTCCCCCGCGGATAAGGAGCTTTGACTGTATTGATTTATTAAACCAAATTATAAGTAGTGACAGTCACCACCTAAAACTATCCCTTATGCAGTATATGGGAGTAATAAATACTACAGTACCTTCATAATCAAATCAAAATAAATGCCTCTTGTTACAGTGTAAACGGCATTTTTACAAAAATCTACAAGAAATAAGAATGTAACAAATGAACATAACCTTAAAATGTTTGTTTAATTTACAGAAATACCGTCACGAATTTTCTGAGTTCCGAAAAGAACAATTTTTTTTCCACTCAACAGACAAAGATTAATTTGTAGAAAAGCACATAAATACTGATAAACACTGCTAAATTATACAGGGCGCCCCTGAAAAGGATGGACAACGCTTGACCACAGATTCCTTGGATGAAAATAAGACTATTTAGCCTCCTAACTTATCTATATACAAAAGTGCTGGCCTACTGAGATATAGCCTTCTAAATATAGAATAGATAACCTAGTTTTTTTCAAATGATTTGAAAACTATTAGGAACTTTGGTACACTTATTTTTTTATATAAGCGCAAGGTAAATATAGAATTTGGAGAGAAGGCATATACAGGATGCTTTCTTTCTAGTGCCGGTGCACCACTAGCTATCCCGTAACTTTTGTATGTACGCCAATGTCAGAATTTATATTTTTAAAAATAAGCACTATTTTAAAAGATTTTTTTGTTCTTACAAAATTTTGATATCGTTTATGGATTTCGAGTAAAATTGGCATTTTTATACATTAAATATAGGCAAATATTCCGATTTGTAAAAAATAATAATTTATAACTGCAGCCTCAAAGCACGGAATATTAATGAAAAAACGTCACATTAAAAAAAATAACCACACATTTTTAGTATTAGTATTATCAATCAATAAAATAAAAATCAACACTAGTATTTTAAAATAAACAATATCAACTAATAATGTAAGAAAGTCAACATTAACATTTTAAATAAACCTAAATTGATATTTGTAACCACATTAAAGTAATATTACAGTAAATGCTCAAAGTTACTTCCTTGTTCTTAAACGCAAACATTAGTTCTTCAAAAATTAAAGTGAATTTTATCCAATAATTGTGCATTACCTCTCATAACACTAATTTCATGTTGTATTCTTTCCCATTATTCGTTTTCTGTATTTACTGAAAAGTTATAAACCGCAACGCTTCCCAAAGGAAATAATTACATGGGTTTAGGTCCGGGGATCGAGGTGGCCATTTTAAAGGGGCATTATTTCCTATACCTATCTGCCTGTTAGTATAGTAACCTGTAATAACTGATATTTTAATACTCTATTAACGCAACTTTTTGAAAGTCAACCTCTGCCGCTAAACGCCTTTTATTTACTTGTGGAATTTCTTCCACCCTTTCCAAAATTTGTTCCTCGAGCTGAATAGTTCCGGCCGTACATTATCCACGATTTAATGTTACAGTTAAAAGTTGTGATTTGGAATTCTTCGATTAGGAAAACTAAGCATATGTTCGAACAATAGCACAACAATTTCCTTCACAATAACCCAAAACTAATAACATATCAGTTTCTTCAGCAAAAGTATAAATTGCAGTAAAAAACAAAGTAAATTAAAATTAAATCACAGTTAGCTTGACACTGAACCTTTTAATTATTGTTATGAATTTGTTTCTTTGTTATATGGCACCTCGTACTGGACTATTCTATTTATCTTAAACTAATTTTATATTATTTAATGTGTAAAAAATGCCAATTTTACTCGAAATCCATAAACGATATCAAAATTTTGTAAGAGGCAAAAAATCTTCTAAAATAGTGCTTATTTTTAAAAATACAAATTCTGTCGTCATTGACGTTCTCACAAAAAAATTACGGGATAGCCAGTGGCGCACAGGCACTAGAAAGAAAACATCCTGTATATGTATTATCACCAAATTCTATATTTACATGGCCCTTACATAAAAAAATATGTATACCAAATTTGAAGTTTCTAAGAAAAACAGTTTTCAAATTATTTGAAAAAAACTAGGTTATCTGTTCTATGTGTTCTATATTTAGAAGGCTATATCTCAGTAGGCATGCATTTTTGTATATAAGTAAGTTAGGCTAAACAGTCTTATTTTCATCCAAAGAACCTGTGGTCAAGCGTTGTCCATTCTTTTCAGGGACACCCTGTATAAACAACAAGCATAAAAACATGAAAAATTGCAGGCATCTCTGGATTGACATTTAATCTATAGTATTTTCAATTTCAAGATAGAGTAAATGTAAACATAGACTGGCGCATGCTATTCACGTGATCAGATCGAGCCTCCTTCCTCATCGCATTCTTATTGGCTGATCAGCCATAAACTGCATGAAGAAGTGGGAGGTAGCTGTAGACGGTAGTGGTCAGGGTCGGATTTTGAATTAGCTATTTTAATTTCATAATCTCGTTACTAAATTAAGTACATAATATTAATTGTAAGAGATTATTTACTGCTTATTGTTTGTGTGTACTGAATAAACAAAATGTCAACCACAGAGTCTGCAGAAGAAACCCAACATGTAAATTTGAGTCCAACCAGAAAAAGACCAAAAAAAACATTTGAGTATAGAAATGAAGGAGGCCATTTTAAACAAAAATGTATTGGGCATGTAAAACCAAAAGTGGAAGTTGAAATGTGGAACCTGGATGATATTATAAGTAGAGCGTCTTATTATTAATATAGTGATGACAATACTTCCAGTTCATCCGAATAGTTTCTTTTTTTTCAAATTGAGTCCTTTTTTACAATAGGGAATATTTTTAAGTTTTTAAAATTTATTATTAGATATTATTATTCAGAATATATTTTGGATGTCTACTTTCGGCAAATTACGAATTACAAAGTAAAATATTGTTGTTTTATTTTATTCATACCTAGTTAGTTTTAAGTCCGCCCCTGTTCAACTTTACGATTTATGCTGAACACGTGAAACGTGCGTATATTTGATTATTTTCACTCTATCTTGAAAATGAAAATACTTTAGGGTGCTTGATGGTGATTTTTCCTTGGTAATTTTGGAAACACCAACTTATGAAAATCAAATTTACTGAGCGCCAAAGCAAATCTGGTCACGTAAGACTTGGACATTTATGAAGGCACTGTATATAAATTAATACCTAGGTGCCTTTTAAGTCTAAGTTTAAAATATAATTAAGATATCTCGCAACATATATCAACCATCTTCTCTTAAAGGAATATATATCTTGAGACAAAATAACATCTTGGTTGGACTTGTTATTTTGAATAAAGTTTCATAACAAAAATTGTATGGCACCGAGGGGGCCAATGAAAGATACATATTATAACGGAAGTTGATGTTTTTTAATGGAAACACCCATTTTTTTCTATGAATTTCGATTGAAAAATGAAAAACAAATACTTTTTGTTATTTTTTCAATTTAACCCATAAAATGGCCATAAAAAAAACAAAAAAAAGCATCTTGAGACAACGGAGTACCTTGTTGGGATGACTTTTTTTAAAAAATTGTTTCGTACAAAACTTGTAGGGTGAAAAGGGGGCTATCTTGACATGACCTTGAAAATTACCTTGACCTTGATTTCAAGGTCGTTTGAAGATCAAACTCAAAATTTCTTCAACAAATCATTAGAAATCTGAAGAAATTCTTAATTTCACCTAAAACAAGCACCCTAAAAAGGAATAAAAACTATTACGTCCACGTCGTTATTCCTGGGTAGTGCTAAAAGTAGTTAATAATTATACAGTTTCTCGACCTTGATATATGATCTTGTTCTTGAGGTTAAATTCATATCTTATTGTAAAACTTCTCGCTCTTGTAATTTCCGAGGTCAAAAAAGAAGGCCCCATTCAAAATTTTGAATTTGGTCTTCAGATGACCTTGAAGTCAAGGTCAAGGTCATGTCAAGATAGCCTCCTTTTCACCCTACAACTTTTGTATGAAACATTTTTTTTAAAAAGTGACCCCAACAAGGTACTCCCTCATTTCAAGATTCTTGTTTTTGTTTTGTTTTTTTATGGCCAAAATATGGGTAACATCGAAAAAATAATAACAAAATTTTTTTTTTTTTCATTTTTCAATCCAAATCATTGGTAAAAAATCGGTGTTTCCATTTAAAAAAATCAACTTCCGGTCCAAAAACACCATTTCCAGTCTAGACTGGAAGTCGTAACATGGACCTATCAATGGCCCCTTCAATGCCCTACAATTTATGTCTGAAACTTTTTTCGAAAGAATCGAGTCCTACGAGACATTATTTTATCTCAAGTTAAATGCCCCACCCGGTATATCTCATATTATCCATGGAAAAACTTTATATAAAAAGGTACACTTATTTTTTAAACTATTCTCTATCTTGAAAATGTTGAGACAGTATCTGACCATGAATATTTTTTTTGAACAGAATGATTTTGAAAATATTTAAAATATATCTAGCTGTGATCGATTTTAAAATTTTAAAAAAATACAAAATATTCAGTATTTTTTTAAATTTCAGTTCAAAATATTGAGCGCAATCAAAATTATTGTCTCTGTCACTATTAAGGATATTAACCCAAAGAATAATCTCCAGATATGAAAACATTTTCTTAAAAGTCATCTAATTATACTTTCTATGCATATATACATTAGGGTGGCCCAAAAAAAACGAATTTTTTTTTTCGCGGCTCTTGTGAAAATATGTTAATTTATCATGTTTTAAGAGCTCCCTCAAAAAATCAATTCAAAAAAATTTTTTTAGAGGTCGCTCAAGATTTTTAAATATTTCCAAAATTGTCAAAAATTCAATCATTTTCTAGGTTGAAAAAATCTCGATTCTGAAATTTCAAGTCGATATTTTAATTTCTAAAGGTCACTCATAATTATTTTAACTTTCAAAGTAGTGTACCCATGTTTTCGATTGACCTCTAAAATTAAATATCAACGAACTAATAATTTTTTTTATTGAATTTGATGAACAAAAGGATAGAAATAAATTACGACACTTAAATTTTAAAAAACTAAAAAATTATAAATATTTGATACGGTGCGGTACTAAATTTTGCCTCGAAAAATTTTTTAAGAAATTTTTTTGAGCTGATTTTTTAAGGGGGCTCTTAAAACATGATAAACTAACATCAATTATAAATGTTGGTTTTGAGGATGGTGAGTTTGTTGCTTCCCAATTTCTAGACTTAACAAAGGCATTTGACTGTGTGTCGCATAATATCCTTATAAATAAATTATATTTTTATGGTTTCTCAGGCGAAAGTACAAAATTAGTGGAATCCTATTTAATTGATAGAGTCTAATATGTTCAATACAGCGGTGTTAAGTCTGGATTAAAGAATACTATTCATGGTGTGCCCCAGGGTTCAGTATTGGGCCCTCTGCTATTTTTAATTTATATAAACGACTGTCCAATTTCTTTAGATGGAAATATTAATAGTGTGTTATTTGCTGACGATACTAATATAACCTATAGAAATAAAGACTTAGTTTTATTAACAGAGGAATCACCTAAAATTCAGTCAAGGGCAAGTGATTGGTTTGCAAGGGTGACTATGGTTTTTACCCTACGAAGTGGAGAACATTTAAATAATCCAGATTTTGTAAAATTCTTAGGAGTATACTTAGACTCTAAATTGTTATGGCACCAGCATGTCAATTATATTTGTTCCAAAATATCAAAGCATCTATATTTGCTCCGTACTCTCTCATATAAAGTATCCAGAAATATTTTAATAACAGTATATCATAGTCTCATTCACTCTGTTTTGTCTTATGCAATTCTTGTTTGGGGCCACGCTCTCTTGAGCCGGCAAGTGTTTTCACAACAGAGAAAGGCTATCAGGGTGATATCGGGCTTAAACTATAGAGATGACTGCAGAGATCAGTTTATTGAATATACTCACATTCCCATGTACTTATATTTTCAACTGTATTATGTATGTTAGAAACAATATAGAGTCATTTAACTGTAATCATGAAATTCATACTTATAATACCCGCAATATGAACTACCTCTCAAATAAACATCTAAGACTAACTAGAACACGAAATGGTACAGGATATTGGGGTTTAAAATTCTTTAATGCTCTCCCTGATTATGTAAGGATTTTAAATATGAATACTTTTAAAAAAAGAATTAAGAATTATTTATTGATAAACGCCTTTTATGATTTTAATCAGTTTTTATCAAGTGACTTGCACAATATTTAATTTGTTAGTTTTAACTATTTGTTGGTTCTTATCATCTGTACCTATCTACAGGTATTGTTTTGTATGTTTGTAGTATTTTTAATTATGTTAGTCTGTAACTATTTTATATTGATTTTACCTATTTTTGTATATTTTTATATAGTAAGTAATCTCAGCGTACTAAGTTTAGTAGTAAAGTAAAAGTAATGTCCTTTTCCTTTTCTTTTGACGTGTTTAAACACTGGTGTGTATTGACATGAATTGAAATAAATAAATAAATAAATACTTAACATATTTTCACAAGAGAAACGAAAAAAAATTATTTGTTTTTTTTGGGACACCCTAATATACATGTTAGTTACAGGTGATAAAATCATTATAAAATTGTTACTAATAAAAAATAAGTAAATACAATCTCCAATAACCAACCATATCTTGGTTTTATTTCAGTGAGACAAACGATGATTTGAAGAAAACAGTTCGGACTTCACATTCTAATGTGATCCAAAATCCAAAAATTCCATCGGACACTGTAGTATCCTTAGAAAGTAGAGAAGATTCAGGTATGATTCCTGTATACAGTACAGCCAAAACTGACACAGAGGATCCTCTATATATACCTTTGTCAGAAGATAACAAAACTCGTAAATCTTATGGTGAATTGCTAAGTGCATTGAAACAAAAACAACCTATAATTTCAAAATTACCTCTGACTACAACTATAGTTTTGGAAGATTCACCAGAAAGGAGTAATCAGAAAGAGAATCGCCATCGCAAAAAATCAGTAGAAACATCAAAAGTAGAAGCTGTAGTCATTTTAGATGATGAGCCAAGTAAAGCAACTAGCAGCAATTTATCAGAAAATGCCTATGGGCCGCGAATTAGACTTAACAATATTGCTGGAACTAAAAGAAAGAGAAATAATGATGACGGTAAACAAGCCATTTTGAAGAAAATGCGAGAAGGTTTTAATAAACCCATCAGTCATTTCACATCAATCAGTGTAGATGATGATGATGATGTAACGGAAATAGCTAATACTTCCTCAGAATCTGGATCATTATCTAACGAACTAATATCTAATTTGGGACGTAGTGGCATAACTATTCATAAAGTGATAAAAGATGTTCATCAGAACAATGGTAAGACCTACATTAAATAATATTATGAATTTAGGGTGCAGCACATCAAACCATAGAATTTGCTCCCAAATTTCCAAATTGCATCATAAATCAGTGGCGGCTCGTGACATTGAGAATAGGTGAAGCATCATTATTCATTGGCTAAAAAAAAAGCAAATTTTCAAGGTTAAACGGATTTAAATGAATTTAGAAATTTTTAGTTGCATTTACAATACTACAGAAAAACTGACGTTCTCGAGAAGGATTTTCATTTAGATTTTATAAAAAATAGAAATATTAGTTCGGCCTGCGAACATTAACACACACCGTACATGTATGTTTCAAAGAAGCTTCGTGGTTACGACAGCCTCGCATGATGTTCCCAAAACACAACCACTTAATACTCCGAATACCATTCATTCCAAAACTTCCGAACGTACACTTTGTCTTTTGACTTCCCCCTTTTTTCCACATTAAAAGAAGGCACAGGTCTCTTGCAATTTAAAAAATACTTTTTGTCCTCAATTTTCCATATGAAAAGTGGCATTTCAAATAAAATACATACTACTGGATCATACATACGAAACATTTCTACAAATTATTGGTACAAAACAAATATTAGTAAAGAACCATTATAATCGTGCTTTGGGCGATGTATCGTATACCAAGCGATGGGCGATGACAATGCTGCTTTAATTTTTGCGTCACTCGTTCCCTCAGGCCGTAGCTTACTCCAGTGTTGGCCGCCTCGTTGCCATGACAACCGCCATAAACAACGCTACGAAAAAAAGCAGATACAAACTGATTTCAATCTGCGTCACTTGCGTATACTAAACGTTGTACGATAGGAGGTTGATGTTCGCACTTAACGAAGGCAATATTTTTTTAGAAGGTATTCACCGAGCAACTGTTCTGCTTATTTCTGCGTATAAAACAAACAAACACAATACATTTCCAATAATTATAAAATTTATATAAAATTAAAAATAATTTTAAATTGCACAACTAAACGAAATTTTAGGTGAAGCGGTGCGTCACCTGGCGAGCCGCCACTGTCATAAATATTCAAATGAGATTTAAAATTCCTTTGGGAACAAACAAGGCAGGAAATAGTAATACACAATTTTATATCAAATATTAGGAATAAGTTGATTGTAACAAAAATAATACTTAGTTAACTTTGAATGGTGGAGACTACCATCCCATCGACCTTTAGAAACACATCCTAAGTTTATTTTCTCAAGTTCCAATGTAAAAACAAAATCCACTGCTGGACAAGCTAGTGTGACGTCAAATCTTAAAAACTTAATACTTTTGAATAAGATAAACTATGAAACAGTACTTAATAAATAATTTAACAGAAAACTCGAACAGTAATAAATAAATAATGATATATACGAAATACAATCATACTTACTTAAAATCTTGTAGCTAATTTTTGAGTACTGGTACCAGGATCCTCTTCTACAACGTTTAAATGAGTGACCGCAAAAATCGCCTGTTTTTCCACAATTCGCAGAGAACTAAAGAAAATAGATAAAAATATGTTTTCGGTTTCAAATTACTCATCGTAAAAAATTAAGATGAGCATAGCTTTTAGTTTTTTGACAATTTTCAAAAATCACCCCTATTTAGGGGTTGAAAAGACGCCCAAAATGAAGAATTGAATATTACCAATAAATATATAAACTATTAGCATGTGAATTTTTCTAACGAATGATTCTTGATACAAAGAAAGATTTATTCTCATAACTGAAATAAGCATGTTGAATTAGAAAATCCACCCTTAAGCGCGCTCAGGGGGTGGAATCATCCCCAAAAATAGAGAATATCAGAAATTATTGTAAAAATTCCAAAAAAAGATTATTATTAAGATTATTCACATGCTAATAGTTTTTATATCAATTGGTAATATTCAAATTCTTCATTTTTGGCATTTTTTCAACCTCTAAGTAAGGGTGATTTTTAAAATTTTCAAAATACTAAAAGCTACGCTCATTTCAGTTTTTTACGACAAGTAATTTGCAACCAAATGTATTTTTTTAAATTCTCTGCGAGTTGTGAAAAAACGGACGAAAATCACAGGTTTTTTGCGGTAACTCTTTCTGGTTCGAAATTTCTCACTCTGAATTTGTTCCCATCCAACATTAGCTTATTGGCATTCAAAACTCCCATAATCTCTTCAATACTGAACCAATCTTTTTTTTCTTATTGGGTACTTGTTCATCGGGAAATATCTACTATCGTCTTGTAACATTGTTTTCTCCTGACAAAAAACATAACTACATCAACTTTTTCTTGATTTGTCTATAATGCCTTTACATATCACACTGAAACTTGCAAATAAAAACACAAAACTACACTGTACTGTCACAAAATAAGCATTAATAACATTATACATTTTCATTACACAAAGGCACTTCATCGGGAAATATCTGCTATCATCTTGTAGCATTGTTTTCTCCTGACAAGAAACGTAACTACATCAACTTTTTCTTGATTTGTCTACATGCTTTTACATACAATATCACATTGAACCTTGCAAATAAAAACACAAAAATACAATGTACAGTCACAAAATAAGCATCTATAACATTATACATTTTCATTACACAAAGGCACTTCACAGGAACCTTCTTGTAAACTGATAAACTGAAAACTAAAATAAATGCAACAAAATGAAGCAGTGATGACGTATTTGGTCATTCTGCACTTATTTATAGGTCGACAAAAGTACAAAGAAATTTGTAGATGAAAAATGATATAATTACTAGAAAGTTGTTCAAATAAGCAATAAAGGTACTTGTGATAATATACAGGGTGTCCTAAATTTATTAATCAAGGCTTTAGCATCTCATAGAGAATCTTATTTTAATGCAGAGTTCATATGAACACTCATCCTAATTTTAGCTTTCTAAAAAAATATTTAAATTTTTCAATTTCCGAAGTATTTAATACTAATCAATTTGGTACAGAAGATGCGGGTAATCAGTACCACTAATTGGATAAAAGTAGTACGGTCTTGGATATAATAAAAACAGGGATCATTCTTCAATAAAGCAATCAATTATGGACAAATAATGTCTTCATATTTTTTATTTACATATTATACAGGGTGTTTGTAAATAAGTGCAAAATATTTTAGGAGGTGTTTGCCAAAGTTATTTTGTGTAAAAAAGTTCATATAAACGTAGGTTGGAATATGCTTCGCTTCCGAGATACAGTGTTTAAATTTTAATTTTTTATTTATTTTTGTTAATTGAAAGAGTTTTAAAGATACTACGACTTTATTTCCAGGTGGCGCACCGTGAGGGTAGTTTACAAAAAACTTACATTTTCAATTCTAAATTGTACCCGCAAAAATGAAGTAATTTTGTAACTTTTAGTCATAACAATAGCCATGACTAAGACTGACAATACATCACATCGGAAGACAATTACTGAAGAACATATTTCAATTATATCAGAGCTAGATTCTGAGTACATCCTTCTATTGATTCGGGGAAGGCAATTACGATTAAGAATAATATTGTCAACTTTCTTGAAATGAGATTCAAATTTCATTCTACTTTGGTGGCAATTGACTGCGATGGAACCGCTGTAAACACAGGACAGAAAAATGGAGTAATTTTTTTACCAGAAAAACACCTGAATCGTCCTTTACAATGGTTTGTGTGTGTAACAAACACGCAAATGAATTGCCACTCCGTCATTTGTTCTCCAGTCTCGACGGCACTACAACAGGCCCTAATAGTGTTTCTGGCATCATAGGAAAAAGGATTGACAAGTGTCTCAACTTAAAAGTATAAGCATTTGAATCCATTCTCATAGAATTGCTGGATCTGAACACCGACTCATTAAGCAACGATCAAAAATACCTGTATCAGATGTGCTCCGCAATTTCTGTTGGTGCAGTCTCATCAAACTTGACTAACAAAGACCCAGGAAAAGTAGCACGTTCTCGATGGTTGACTTTCGCAAACAGGATTCTTCGTTTAGATATTGGAACTAGCCACTTTTATCATGAAAGTTTACGCTCCAACCTGGTTTAATATCAAGACAAAATCGTCTTGTAAATATGGTCCAATACATGTATTTAATATTGTTGAAAGGTGTTTGTATGTGCGAGATGACCTGAAAAGCATTGTCTTAAAAACTATTCAAAGAAATACCTTCTTCGCACACCCAGAAAATGTGTTGCTAGCTATGTTACAAGATGATGAGTCACACGTAAGGGAACCGGCTGTTTAGAGAGTTTTAAAGGCAAGAGATCAGTGCAAAGGGAAGAAAATACGCTAATTCCAATTTCCAGAACTTAAGGTTGATGCGCCTAATTAATATGATTTAATAGAGGGAGTTTGTGAGTCTTGACATACTGAAGTTATATTACTACGGACAGGTTTACCCTATCCTAAGCTATTGTATCCTCTGTTGGGGTAATGGTTCGGGTATTGACAATTTAATGATTGCGCAAAAACGAATCATTCGAACTATGCTGTTTAAAACAAGGCGTCAGTCTTGTCGCCAATTATTTAAAGACTTGGGAATCTTGACCGCAGTCTCAATGTATATTTTAGAGTGCGCGATGTATGTCAGGGTTCACAGGTCTGAATTTACGCAGTTCGCGGATAGACATTTGGCGTTTGACCTCAGAGATAGGCATGCTGTCGTGGTACCTAGACACAGATTGGCAAAGTCAGCTAATGGTCCTTTTATTATGGCACCTAAAATATATAACCACCTTCCAGTTAATATAAGAAATATTCAGAGCATCCCGTCCTTCAAAAAGTCGTGTAGAGTGTTACTTTTGACAAAATCGTTCTACACGGTGCGTGAGTTTTTTGAGTGTAGTTCTCTTTGATTGTTGTTTGTTATCTTGCATTGAGCAAATTGACTTTATAGTCAATGATTGTGTCATTGTTATTTATTTGTTATATATTTGTATAAATTCTTATTGTGAATTTTATTGTATTTACTTGACGTTTTCCATGCATTGTATTATGTCTCAGGAGAAATAAAGCATATTATTATTATTATTAGATTGGGAGAAAGAAAAGATAACGGAACCTCCAATACACAGAAATTTCAAATATTTTCTCAGGACGTACTTTGCTTGAAATTGAAAAGTATCCTTGTCACACAAAAAGTATCCTTGTCCTTGAGGTGTGTGAAGCTCGTAACAGAGTTTTGGAGACTAGAAGCAAGAGATGGTTTTATTCGTACGAACATAAAAGCCATGCAAGACATACCACTTTTCGATACGAAAGCTTGGTATTTTCGTCAAAAAGGTGGTGCTGGAACTTCCGATTTAGGACATTAAAACGTATTTTTTTTGTGTTGTTTTTCAACGTATTTTTCATAGTTATTCATTTCTTTAGTAATTTTAAGTATCAATATTGTAGTAAAGATAGCAATATAGCCGTAAATAAAGTTCTGTTTGTAAGCCAAAAATTGACTTTTTTCTAAAATTCAAACCTAATGCGCCACCTTAATATATTGACATATTTACCTGAAATTTTACATAAACACATCTAATACTACGTATCATCGGTTGATAATACAGGAATCTTAAAATGTTTCACTCCACCCTAATATGCAATTGAAACCATTTCGCAATTAATAAGAAATTACAAATTTTATTTTTGAATGCTGCAACTAGGACTAACAGATCAAAATTTTATTGAGAACATTTTTATGATTTGCCTTGTTTATTGCACATACAATTATGAGTCGTCCTATATAAATGCTGGGTTTATAAATTTGTTTTTTTTTTTTCAGGTGCCATTATAACACTCGATTAAATGAAGGAAATTAAAAAAATAGGGATTATTTATGGAATATTTATTTGGAATATTTCCAATGTATATTTTAATTATTAAGTATTCATATTTTTTGTATTTTATTTTATAGGTTAAAAGAAGGTTACCCTTTGTTGATCTTAACATAATATTGTTTTATTTAATTGGTTGTTTTTCAGTTTTTAGACAAATGCAAAATAATTTAACATTTTTTTTTCAGTAGAATTATAACACAAAAATGAAAATGTAAATTGTGTCGCCATTGTTTAAGTATTCATTCAAGGTTACCAAATTTTTAACAGCTTGTTTGACATTAATTTATGTCCTCTTTGGAATCGCTTGTTTTAAAGAATTCCAACATAAAATTTAAAAAACTATTAACTTCTGTTCTACTAGGCAATACTTTTATGTATCATGATTTATTTATTCGGGCATGTGAAGTTTTTAAGAACGTAAAATATAGTTCCTTACTTGTGTGATTAACATTTACAAAACAAATGCCACAATAACCAAAAAGTTAAAATAATGGAAAATGTATTTGTTAAAAAATATACGGTATGGCCTATTAACATTTGAATTTTTTTGTATATAGTAAGCCTAAAGTTGTACTTTGTTGAACGAATCTGGTTCATAATCCCATGGCTTGTTCCTATTTATTTTGGAAAAATTTTGGAAATCAGAAAACTTTATTAAAAATTTGGGTATGTAGCCCTAACCAGCATCACACCTGTTTCTCAAATTTCATCAATTTATAATGCAGAACAATTTTTTATACAGGATTTAAATTTTAAATTTATTAAGCATCTGTTTTATATTAAAAGGTAGGTGGTGTTGGAAATACCTAAAGATGAAGAAAAATTGGCCAGTTACTGTCTGTGCTGATTATAATTGGTAACTATAGTTAATTGTATATTAATTTGTTTGTTATAAATAGAGTAACAGCTTAAAAATAATAACTAAAAAAACCTGTTTTAAAAATTAAAAAAAATGGGGAAAATCTGTAATCTATAATTTGTTTTAATATACAGGGTGTTACAAATTAGTAGGTCAACCCGTTAACCGCATATTCTTTGGACTAAAATAATGGGACTTTTTTTAAGTCTCTTTTCACTTCAAAGCCCCATTTTCAAAATACAGGGTGTCAAAATTAAAATTTAAAAAATGATTTTTAATAGTAAGTCCGGTGATTGTAGAAATATTTATTTGAAATTTAACACAATTTTGGTCATAAGTCGGCACACTTTTTGTGTCATTTTGGTTTAAAATATCAAAGCGTGAATGAAAGGGAGGGGGTTGCAGCACCCATGGAATTTTTTTTGGGTACACCTATGCTTTCCAAATATTTTTTTTAGATAGCGCGACGTTTCATTCTATTTTCTTCACTCTTGTAAGATTTTTATTTGTTGCCTCGTTTATGAGATATTGTAACTTTTTTGGATACACGACATCGATTTAATAGACTTTAGACTTTATTTTTGGGTCTATATGAAAGATTTTAGTCGTCTTATTTATTTCAATTTACTGTATAAAATGGAAATGATCATCATGATAATTTGAGCTAAATCTAAAAAGTTACAAATCTCGTACAGCAAGCCCCAAATCAAAATATGTGTTTTCAGCCTAAAGTGCTCTTTACCTCGTACAATTCGTTTCTTTAACTGTTGTTTAGTTAGTATTGGTACCATATAAAATAAATTTTTCATAATATCCCAAAAATTAAAGTCTAACGTCGACTAAATTGATGTCGCGTATACAAAAAAGTTACAATATCTCATAAACGAGGCCCCAAATCTTACAAGAGTGAAAAAATAGAACAAAACGCCCGCTTTATCTAAAAAAATATTCGGAAAGCATAGGCATACTCAATAAAAAAAAAATATGGGGTTTATGGGGACTGCAACCCCCCTCCCCTCCGTTCGCTCCTTGATATTTTAAACCAAAATTACACAAAAAGTATGTCGACTTAAGATCAAAATATGTGCTAAATTTCAAATAAATATCTACAATTACCGGAATTATCAATAAAAATATTTTTTTTAATTTTTAATTTGACACCCTGTGTTTTGAAAATGGGACTCCTAAATGAAAAGTGGCATAAGAAAAGTCCCATTATTTTAGTCCAAATATTTTGTGGTTAACTGCTTGACCTACTAATTTGTAACACCCTGTATATTACATATCCACTTTTTTCAATGCACCTTATATTTTTAAACTGAAACAGAAATTTGATCCACTTATAACTTTGTCTGTATAAAAAATATGCTGTATTGTACAGTAAGGAAAATATATTTTAGCTGTAAGTAGAAATTGACTAATCCTAACAAAATATCTGCATTAAATAGGCTCCAAAAAGGTTACCCTTCTATCATAACAAAACACATTTCCTAAATGAACCTGCTGATTAAATAGTTTTTTGTTAACTTTTTATTTATTGCTGTGATCCCATCTTATAGTAGCTTAGTACCCATAATAATAAAATTGTTCATTTCAGCTGCTAGGATTTTATCCTAGGATGAGTTTTATGATGATACCAGCAAATATCTTGTTTTTACCGACTTTTTAGATATTAGCAAGTGATATCTTGCCAGAACTATGTGTATTTAGCTTTATTCAACTTTATTTTTAAACTTTCACATTACATTTAAAAAAACAATACTTAGACAATCTCCCATTCCTCGCTTTTTACTTTTAACTTTTTGAATATAAAATAAAAATTATAACAAAGGGACCTGCAACTATCCTTATGGAAAACTGGTCCTGGTCGAATGGTGCGAAACATTGCCGAATGATAGTCCTCAATGTGTCAATCAAAAAAGTCCATGGGACCTAGGTCTGAAAAACTACTGTTCTGAAGCTACAGCTTTCTGAAGTTATCGAATCCACATGCTCGATGACCATCAGTCAAGTTTTCTGAAGGTGTTTCAACTATTTTCTGAAGACTGAGGATTGCTGCAGATTTGCTGATGACGGACGGATAAGTGTTCAGCATGCGTAAAAACATAAGATGTCGCTCAAGCAGTATGTGTCGCTATCGCTGTTCTTCAATAGGTGCTTCACCGATTTTCTGAAGACTGAAGGATGATACAGCTATTTTGACCATGGATTCGCATTCAACACACGAAAATACATCAAGGAACAGCCAGCTTGGTCACTTTATAAAGAAATATTTGCTTTTACTCGTCCGTAAATCATTTTACTTGATGGTCATCGAGCACGTGGATTCGATAACTTTAAAAGGCTGTAGCTTCAGAACAGTAGTTTTTCAGACGTAGTATAGGTCCCATGGACTTTTTTGATCGACACATTGAGGACTATCATTTGGCAAAGTTTCGTACCATTCGACCGGGACCGGTTTTCCATATGCTGCGGGCTCCTTTTCTAACTACTGTTATAAAATTTTTACTTCGATTCTTATAGTTACGTAAATTTTTAACAATTAATGAGTGGGATTAAATGAAAGTCACTCCAGTGTAATAAGTTATCTAGTTACCTTTAATAGAATGAATACTAGAAAAAAATGTATCTATTTACCTGAAGAAGGTGTTCATTGTTTTAGTAAAATACCGACAAGGTGGTAAAATTGTTATAAGAAAATAATTTTTATTAAGCTTGGTATACTCGTATGATATTGTAATAGAATAATAAGAAATGAATAAGAAAAGTTCCGATTATAATATCTAATTTATTATTCCAATTTATATAATGAGATGTTGAATAAGTTCTCACTGTTTTTTTCCTGAAAAATAACTACTTAAAAAAAAAATAGTAAAAATCATCACTGAAAATATTGTCCATAGCTAGCCACTACGTTTTCCCATCTTTCTGGCAACAGCTTAATTCCACGTCAGAAAAATGAGACGTCTTTTGAGACTATCCAAAAGTCGACCCATTTTTTGGCATCTTCATAAGAATAGAAGTGCTGCTCAACCTGACCATGTGCCATTGGACGTGATAATCGGGAAGGATCAATGTTTGATGAATATGACGGGTGGGGTAGCGTTCAAGCGTTTCCAAGTATTGCAACATGTGGAAGAGCGTTATCATGCTTCAAAATTACTTTGTTGAGCCTCTGTTCATATAACGACTTTTTCTCCTTCAATGCTCAACTCAAATGCACCAACTAGAGTCGACAGCGATCTCTCATGATGCTTTCAATTGGTTAGAGCAGCTCATAATAAACCACCCAGCCGATGATTCCGTCAAATGCAGAAGAGAAGCGTGGGATCATGGATATTGTCCCACAATTTTCTATACTTAGCATTATCGTAAGGTATCCGTTTTTCATCACCATCGCCAAAAAATCTTTCCTTTTCTGCATTGAAGCAGCTGTTTTCATGTACCAAGACACAATTCGACATCTCTCGACTTCAACTCGTATGATACGTAATGTCCTTACTTTTAAATCATTCTTATTTCTGTCAAATGTTTTGAAAGTATGGTGTGCTCAACTCCTAATGATTCTGCAAGTTCAGCTAGTGTCTGACATGAGTCTTCATGAAGTAATACCTCCAATTTTTCATCTTCAAACTTTTGGGTGTGCCAGAGCGTTCTTTATCTTCAACATCAAAATAATTATTTTTGAAGTGTCTAATCCAATCTCTGCATGTTGTTTACGACAGAGCATGGTCGCCGTAAGTCTCGACAAGAATTCTGTGTGCTTAAACTGCAGATTTGTTTTAAATGGAGTAGTACTGTAGTAGTTTTCACTTCGGCGAATTAACATACACTAAATTTGAAGCTTGCTTATAGTACTTCTTTACAGGTGTGCTAAACTACGCGCTTGCAGTTTTAGTAACACCATCTGTTGAAAAACAGCGGGAACTTCTTCAATGTCCCTATATCAATAAAACTTAAATAATCTTTAAAAAAATTCGTATTGGTTGATTTCCCTCAGTGTATTGATGAAATTTGATATACTGAAGTTTTAAGTGATGCTAATTATAGTTACATAGTCAGATTTTTAATTAAAAAAAAAATCCTTTTAAAGGCTGCAAGTATGTTTATAAGTCAATAGTAAAAGAGACTGATTATTACAAAATAGCTTATATAATTAACGATGAGAATCATTTGAATCATGTCTCCAAATAATTTTTGATAGCTGTCCTGGTTCTTAATGGGTCACACTGTATATAAATATTTATTATGAAAGGCAGTATATTCACTGTTAATTTTGACCTATTTACTTTATACAAGATTTATAAAATTGTAATTGTATTGTAACTGTAAATAATACTGCTGCTACTGTTGTATACTGTGTATACCACCCTTCTCATTTATTTTGCTTTGTTGTATGTTTTAGAAATGTTACATCAATGACTTTTATTACTTAGATTATGTATGCGATTATTAAACATTTTTCTATAGTATAAACAAGATGAATAGTAATTGCAGCCGCCTTAACTGGCTTATACCTTCATCACCCAAATTTGAAACATAAAACCTATCAACTGACTTGCTAATGAAGTTTCAAATGTCAAATATTTAGAATGTATAAAATGTAACAGTCATAAATTAATAACATTTTATTTAAACCTGAGGCAATTATGAAGCATCTGAGAATTTTAAGCAAAATTCATAATAATCAGAAGCCTTCTATGAGGGGCAGAAAATATATCACTCCAAATGATTTATCCGCAGAAGAAATGAAACATTTGCTTATGACTGCACTAGAACTCAAAACCTCAGAAACAAAACCATTATACATCAAATCTTTGGCTGGAAAAAGTATTACTTTTCTTCTAGACTCTCCCTGTTTACGACTCCAATCTTGCATCTATAGCACTTCTAATTTACTTAATATGACACTAAATACTATCATTACCTCAGAATGGGAAACTATGTTATATCCACAAGATATCGGAAGGTTACTGTCGAATAGTAGTGATATTATATTTTGCAAGGCCCATAGGCAAAAAAAACTAGAAAGTTTTGCTGAAGGATCGATTGTACCTGTCGTAAATGTTTCGTAAGTATTATCCAAAAGAAATTTCACTTGTATTTAACAAACATCTAAGAATTGCTTTTTATTTTTGGTATCTTCCAACAATTTAATCATTCTAATGATTTTATTTTAGTATGTATTTTTTTATTTTGAAGTTGTGGATTATGAAATAAAAAATTGCACTTCATTACATATTAAACATCAATAATTTATCTTCTGAAAAAATGCGAAGTTTAAATTTCAAATATAATTTTTACATATTTTTATATGGTGCTTTTATTTTCAGTATAATGTAATTCTTTCAATGGTATTTATTTTAGAATTATATTTATACCGTGTGTTGGTAAAGTAATGCATAATTTCAATAAACGATCAGGTAACTTTTTTAAATATTTGGACTCATTGATTTTTGTTTATTTATTTTTATTTTTTTCAACAAATATAACATTTTCTCTAGAAATTTTATCTACTCATATTCAAAACTAACAAAACTGTCTTAGTTGTGAAGTTTCTTAATAAAATAATATTTCTAGTTCAAATAACAGTATTCTATTATTTCTGAACAGTAGTTGTAAATGTATTGTTGGAAATTTATTTAATGGAGCCTTTTAAAAATGTACAAAAACTAAGTACCACTTTTTATTAAAAAAAAAATATCTATGACAGCTCCAACATATGCCACTCTGTATATACGGGATGTTCCAACACAGATTCCTGATGTAAGAATAGCCGAGTTCACCTTATCTTAGTCCAAAATTACTCGTTTAAAAGTTAAAGTTATACTTTAGAAACAGATTCTCATCAATACAGGGTGTCCCGAAATTAATGCAACAAAATTTGGTCAAATTCTTAAAATAAGGGATCCATATTTTTTCTTTTTGCCAAGTGGTCCCCTCTTTCAGAGTTACAGCCCCCTGAAATCCGCCCCTAAGAATAATCTTTTTTTTATATCTCGGAACCCTATTTTACGAGAATCACTAAATTTGGTACACAGGGGTTTTATGACATGTGGAATCTGATGGTGCTACGCTTTTTGGTGGGGAACCCCCTTAAGACAATTTTTCGTGGTCCCCCCTTGTCCTTGGTTTCTAAAAGTTTCTAAATTTAATGGCTTTCTAGCCAATAATTTTTAAGAAATTCAAATTTGTGACAAAATTTTTTTTGGTTCCAAAGACAAGGGGGCCCATGAAAAAGTGTTCCCAAAAAGCGTAACACTATCAGATTCCACATGTCATAAAACCCCCGTGTACCAAATTTAGTGATTCTCATACAACAGGTTTCCGAGACATAAAAAAGACTAATCCTAGGGCGGATTTCAGGAGGCTGTAACTCTGAAAGAGGGGGCCACTTGGCAAAAAGTAAAAATACGGGTCCCCTAAATTTGTCTTAAATGACTTTTTGTTGCATTAATTTCGGGACACCCTGTATATCAAAAATATCGTCCCTGAATCAGTGACTTTATAGGGCTGGTGTAGCCAATTCTTTTTGAAAACTTTTTCGCACCTATGTATCTTAATTTCTTAATTATATATGTTGATTTTACTCGAAAAATGTCACATTAATTTTTCTTAAAATTGAGTTTCAAGTAAAATGAGAATATAAAACTAGGTGCTAAAGATGACAATATTATTTGGAAAACGAAATATTTTAAGAATTATGGATTTAAAAAGATTATATAAATATTATCTCTTGAGATCCTCCCAGATTCTGTTTCTGAATGAATTCATATAACTTCTACAAATATATTATAGTTTTTATTAAATAAGTTCAAACGGCTTCTAAAATATCTCATTTCTCAGATAGGTATACCATCAATTTCTTAAGTTAAGAGACAGTCTGTACAATATTTGTTGTTAGAATTCCAATAAAAGGCATGCTGGTACAAAAAAAAGGAATAAACAAAGAACAATATGCACTCTACCTCGGGTGTCGACTGCAAGTATAATACTGACTAAGTTGACTTAAATTCAACTGTTCTTTTCTCATGAATTTGTGGTTATTGCATAAGTATGACCTTTGTTTTCTAAAATACTGTGTACAGTCATAAATAAAATAGATGATTAAAAATAAAAATTGTGCATTTTGCAAAAAAATAAATACCTGATTTCAATTTGTGTTACTATAAGAACAAACTAAAATACATACTGTATTGTAGGATACGAGTATTTTTTGTAATATTTCAATGGCATATATTTTGTAGTTCATGTCGGTTTGTGTTGCTTCATCATTTGTCCAATTTGTTAACCCTTCAGCAGCATTTTGGCAATTTAGAAGGTTTAATTATAGCATGGATAGGCCATCCATGTCCTCTGTTGAACACTTACCTAACAATTGTTCCTACATTGAACATGCAAATAAGATTTCTCTGCCGATGTGGAGGACCTGTTTCTCCATCTGATTTGAACTATGTTCTATCTAAAGGAGACGAATTCACCCAAAAAGTTAAAGAATGTAATAATATAAAAGAAGCTATTGAAGGTAAGTTCAATAACTACTATGTAACGATGAGACAGGGGAAGTAGTTCATAAAATCTGAAATATTTTTTATTGTCAAGCAATTGGAAAAATACAAAGTTGAAATATGATTACAGCATAAGTAAATTTTAAATAATAAATAAATAATATTGTCTGTATTATTTATTTGTGTTCTTTTTTATTTAATTGGGTATTCCTACCATACTGAAAAGAAAAAAGTTTTAATAAATGTGCCAAAAGAACCAGTCCAAGGGTTGATTTTATAAATTTAGTTTTGTCTAACCAGCAATATGTCACACCAAGAAAGTAATTATTCATGACACAATAATCACTATAACACATTATACTGGTTACATACTCTGTTTTCATTATCGAAACTTTTGTTTTCAAATTTAACTAATAAAAATTTTTAGAATTAGAATTAGGTACCCAATCAAATAAAATGTAAATAATATCCTTTTTTAAGAAAAAATCAATAAAATAGCTACAATTCTAGGTGCTCATGTTATTGCGACTACAGATCATTCGGAAACTAACTTAAAACTGACATTAGCAGATTTGACAAAGTATGCACACAAAGACTGGGTGTTTTTTCACACTCTTCCTAGAACATTTCATGAAGTTGAAGATGAAGTATTTAATAGTGATAGAAATTTACTTTGGGTGTCAAATATGAATAATAAATGGATATGTGCCGCAATTATTTCAAGATTCTTAGATTGTGAAGAAAGTAATGTAAATTTGAATAGCTGTGGTGGATAATAGAAGGCACTGTTTTTTTTTGAAATAGAAAATGTAGCTATGAAATTTTAATTTTACAGTCAACAAGTGTACCTACATTTAACTGATACCTATGTCAATTTATTTTCTTCAAAAGAAATAAATAATACTTAATAAAAATATACATTATATAAAATGTGTATAGGTACAGGGTGTCCCAAAATGCAACAAAATTTGGTCCCTTATGTTTTTATTTTTGCCAATTGGCCCCCTCTTTCAGTTACAGCCCCCCTGAAATCCGCCCCTAAGAATAATCTTTTTTTTATATCAGAACCCTGTTGTACAAGAATCATTCAATTTGGTACACAGGGGTTTTGAGACATGTGAAATCTGGTTGTGCTACGCTTGTCTTTGGAGCCAAAAAAATGTAATCGCATGTTTAAATATCTTAAAAATTATTAGTCCGCTAAAAAGCCATTAAATATAGAAACTTTTTTGTCTCTTGATACTTTTTTCGTAAAACGTAATGTTTTCGAGAATGTCAAAATGTGATTAAATGCATATCGTGATTTGCCATTTTCCTCAAAAACATCGCGTTTTCTAAATTCAATGGCTTTCTAGCCAACTAATAATTTTTAAAAAATTCAAATTTGCGACCAAATTTTTTTGGTTCCAAAGACAAGGGGGGCACAAAAAAGTCTCTTAAGGGGGATTCCCGCCGCACTATCAGATTCCACATCATAAAACCCCTGTGTACCAAATTTTGTGATTCTCATACAACAGGGTTCTGAGATATAAAAAAGACTATTCTTAGGGGCAGATTTCAGGGGGCTGTAACACCGAAAGAGGGGCTACTTGGCAAAAAGAAAAAATATGGATCCCTAAATTTGTCTTAACAATCTATGCCAAATTTTTGTGCATTAACATCCGAATTACCTGTTAAATAAATATAAATAACTATGGACACGGGAATAAAACTCTAATAATGTTGTATTTTAATGTGTGGTGTTTAAATAGCTAGATGGATTTCACAAGGTCTAACGACACAATAATTCAATAAACAAAGAAATCTAAATAAAAAATTTGGAAAATTTGAAACGAATACATTGAAGATGAATTTTTCGAGACAAAACTTCTGAATCTGGTTCGGGCCGAGACAGTACAGTATTGAGGGTAATGAAGGCTTGCAAAATAAATAAAATTTCAAGGGTCATATTTAAAAAAATTAAGTTGATGATCCTGGAGACGAAACATAAAAACTGATTCTCATTTGATAGAGGGCAAAAAGTGGCTGTGAGAAAGTGTTCTTTTTTCAATATCACCTCAAACAAGGCTGAAATGAAACAAATAAGGATTTCCAAAATTTCGTTTTTTTTTTCAAATATTTCGAAAACTAATCATGTTAGCCTTGATTTTTTAGAGGTCCCCTGATTACGCATTTGAGCTAGTTTGTATCTCTTACCGTTTTCGAGATCCCTGTAGTGTGAAGCGAATTTGTAACAGCCTGTATATGAATTAACCAACTTTATTTTCTTGTCATATACATACCTCCATAACTAATAGTCCATTGAAAAGTTACATTTGGGGTTGCAAAAGTTAGAGCACGCAATTTTATTTTTTGGATGTCAAGAAGGGGTTCGTGTAAAGTTAAATCCATGTTTGTGGGGTCGCAACCCTTGTGCATCGGCCGCCATCTTGTAAAAAGGGCTGCCAATGGTTTTTATACTACTACTTACTATATCGGGCAAACTATTCGTCGCACAGAAAATTTGTAAATACATTTTTTGTTGCAAATTAAGTTCTCTAAAAATTTGGTTCTGTAACTTTTAGTCGTAGAATAAAAAATAACAAAGTTATTAACGATAATAGATAAAAAATTTGGGAACGAATTTTCTTTTGGTCGTTATAACTTTTTTCTGGTCATTTTACAAAAAAATTACATCAGAGCATTTTGATAGAGGGGTTTTCAAGGAATAATTTCCATTACAAACTTTTTTCAAATTTTATTTATTTATTAGGGTTTTACAGCGATGCGAAACTTACACTATTCTCCAGTACTAGTAAGTATACATTAATATGAATGATTAGGCATAGGAGGTGTCCTTCAAAGTTTTCTTCCAGTTGTGCTACCACGTGCGTGCGTGACGTATTTAATTGTGAAAAGTATTTTGAGTTTTGTGGACACTATTTTGAATTTTGTGGACAAGAGGTGGGTTTCAGTGTCGACCAAGCAGAATCAGATGCAGATACCCTCATCGTTCGCTCCGCTCTTGCTGCATCCCAATCGTTCGACTCAGTCACTATTGTCGCCGAAGATATCGACATTCTTGTCTTGCTCACGGCATTTGGAAGAACACATTCAAATGTATTTTTTTAAACCATCAAAAGGACGTACAGCCGAACAATTATATTGTCCGTCAAGTTTTATGTACGGAGACGTCATTGTGGATAATCTGTTGTTTCTCCATGCCTTCTCAGGATGTGACACGACTTCAGCAGCTTACAACATCGGTAAAATGAAATTTCTCACAACCCTGGAGACACGTCCTGAGTTAGCTAGTGGAACAGCGTTATTCCTCAATGAGAGAGTCGACCCTACTTTGCTCACTGCCGTTGGCCAACGTTTTTTCATCTCTATATGGTGGCAATAAAGATGATGATTCTCTTGACAGTCTTAGATATAAACGATTCGCCAAGTCAGTGACAAAGAATACATTTAATTTGTCTTCACTTCCTCCAACACAAGACACAACCCGCTTGCACAGCCTCCGAGTCTATCATCAGGTCCAGTTGTGGCTCGGGAATTACAACGACCCTCAAGACTGGGTCTGGAAAAAGTATGGACAAATATTGGTGCCTGTTCAAAGTTCAAAACCTCCAGCACCCCCTGAGCTTCTAAAGTTGATATTCTGCCGATGCAAAGGAAACTGTGGAGCAATATGTGGATGTCGGAACGCAGGCCCAAATGTTCTGCAGTGTGCCTGAATTGTTCTGGGGAGACATGCAGCAACATGGAGATATCAAAATTGATCGAGGAGAATGATTTTGAAGATGAACTACCAACAATTACGCCACTTCATTTTCCATCCTTCCTCAACAATTCAATATCGGAAGCTCAACCAAATCCTGAGTCGCAGCCTGGCCCATCAAAGAAACTGAGGATTCAGTAGATTGGGAAATATATTTCGATATTTTTAATTACACTAATTATTATGTCAGCTAGAAAATGTCCGTGGATTCTGCCTACTAGGGATACGACGTAACCAGACTCTACCTCGTAGGGGGGTGGGGAAAAGAGTCAATAACTAATTAACAACATTGCAATGTCAATCATTAAAATGTTTCTTATAAAAATAATGGAAAGATGAGATAAAACTATGCCTAATCATTCATATTAATGTATACTTACTGGTACTGGAGAATAGTGTAAGTTTCGCATCGCTGTAAAACCCTAATAAATAAATAAAATTTGAAAAAGTTTGTAATGGAAATTATTCCTTGAACACCCCTATATCAAAATGCTCTGATGTAATTTTTTTGTAAAATGACCAGAAAAAAAGTTATAACGACCAAAAGAAAATTTGTTCCCAAATTTTTATCTATTTTCGTTAATAACTTTGTTATTTTTGGTTCTACGACTAAAAGTTAGAGAACCAAATTTAGAGAGAATTTAATTTGCAACAAAAAATGTATTTACAAATTTTTTGTGCGACGAATAGTTTGCCCGATATAGTAAGTAGTAGTATAAAAACCATTCGCAGCCCTTTTTACAAGATGGCGGCCGATGCACAAGGGTTGCAACCCCACAAACATGGATTTAACTTGACACTAACCCCCTCTTGACATCTAAAAAATAAAATTGCGTGCTCTGACTTTTGCACGCTAAGCCCAAAAAAATGTAACATTTCAATGGACTATAATAGCTAAGGATAAAAAGTTAAATACAAACTTTTTTTTAGTCGGGTTGTGCGAGGCCCCGGGCGGTTGGCCTGCTCGCCATCCCCTAAGGCCGCCTCTGAGTTTGTATAGTATCTATTTCGGATTTTGTGTAAATATTTCGGGATTTGTGAAGTAAGTACTAAATTGCGGCAGACAAATTTCGTTCACATGTATGTGTGATCCTTTAATGATATAATATGAAATCAGCATCAACGGTCAATTAAATTTTAAATTTTACATTAAATTGAATACCTATATACAGGATAACGAATCAAATAAAATCAATAATGACACTTTACGACGTCTACATCCAAAATAATGTTCTATCGAGTGTATACATATAATTATATATAAATTTAAATATGATGTAAATCATTCAAATCAATAATTTTGAAAATAGATTCATTCACAACTTTAAAGCATGTATGCTTGTGTGTTTGCGTACACTTTCTGTCACAAAACATATAATACACTTTCTGTTTTATGAACTCGATGAACATTTGAACAATTATAATCGTTAAACGGCAAACAATATTAATAGAAATTGGATATATTTTCTAAGATCTAATAGAAACGAATATAAATATTGTACCGTTATATAAAACCGTTATTTCACACCTTTCACAGGACGGAATAGCACAAAGGTTAATAACTTGTATTTAAAAAACTTAAAAAGATTTCATTAGTATTCCATCTTTTTGATACCGTGGACCAATTTAATTGGTATATACATCTTACATCTCTTTCTTCCCACCTCTATGATTTTTCTTTGTCTTCCATCTTCCATTGTCATTGTTTGCGCCGACGGTAACGCGACGTTACGTGTAGACGTCTACGGCCTACGGTGTGGCATTAAATATTAAATCTTTGTAGGTATATGATTTGTGGTGTGGTGTAAGCTCAAGTTTTGTTTTTCATTTTATACTCTGGTTTGTCTAATTAGCGTGGGTTATTAATTTTATTTTGTTATAAAAATAAAGGACAAAGAATGAAGCATTTTGTGTTATGTTTTGCATTTGTGGCTATTTTAGCCTTTGTTAACTGCGATGATGCTGAGAAAAAGGGGCCAAAAGTAACTGACAAGGTGAATAATAAAAAAATTTTATAGGTATACAATTTTTATTTGAAAATATTTTAGGTTTGGTTTGATATCAAAATCGGAGATGAAGCAGTAGGTAGAATTGTTATTGGTTTGTTTGGAAAAACCGTTCCTAAAACTGTGAGAAACTTCAAGGAATTGGCCCAAAAACCTGCAGGCGAAGGTTATAAAGGTAGCAAGTTCCATCGAGTTATTAAAGACTTCATGATTCAAGGAGGCGATTTCACAAAGGGTGATGGTACAGGCGGTAAGTGAACATTAAGAATTATTTAAATTTGAATAAAATTGTTAATGCTTTTTTTGTTTCTGTTTTTGACAACTGTTGTGACCATTGTTGATATATCAGTCGTCTAAATTCTAAACATAAAGCCAAATTTTAACATATTCTTAATTTTCGAGTATCTTAATGTTCTTTATGAGAGTTATTACTTAATATTTTAACACGTAAATAATTTCAGAATACTTGTCAATTTATCTTTGTGCTTGTCAAAGTATGTTGGTCATATCTTCCATGAGATCTTAAACACTTACATTTCATATAGGTAAATTATATTAAGATAAAATTATGAGTTTGGTATTTTTTATTTAAATATGTGTACTTGTTTATCTTACAACTACAGGCTCATTAGGAATTAATTTATTTTATCAAATAGACAATTATTGGACCTTACATTCCAAAGATAGCATTCTGTTTCGATTGCATGTATCCTTTAACATTACAGATAGACCTATCAAATCTCATATCTGGTTAATAGGGTTATTTCCCATTATTTAAATTTTTTGTTTCAAATGATTTTATTAAAATATTTAACATGTATTTTGCTATTTTTTAATTTATTATTAATCATTTCATGCAAAAAAGGTACATAATGTATAATGACTAGAGCTGGGACAATTGTCTAAACAGCAAAAACATGTGCATTAGCATATGTACCTACGTAACATAAAATAAATTGAATAGTGGCAATAAGATTTATGCCATTGTGAAACATGAAATCATAAAAGATATGAATAAACGTTTGATTACAACTCGACAATTGAACCGATAGCTAGGTAGCTCGCATTACTGATGGTCAGTGCCAATGGCCAGCGGACATATTGTACCAGCTCTAATAATGACATAGATGTTTACATATTAAAGAAACTTGTTTTTGAGAATATTCTACTTTAATTTTGTTTAAGTTAGTCAAATCTATTTTTGTATAATGACCCTGTACAATTGACATATCGATATTCATAGGTCGCAGCATTTATGGTGAACGTTTTGAAGATGAAAATTTCAAACTTAAACATTATGGAGCAGGTTGGCTCTCAATGGCAAATGCTGGTAAAGACACCAATGGATCTCAATTCTTTATTACAACTAAACAAACCTCATGGTTAGATGGACGTCATGTAGTTTTTGGTAAGATATTATCAGGCATGGATGTTGTGCGAAAAATAGAAAGCTCTAAAACTGACGGTCGAGATAAGCCATCAAAAGATGTCACTATTGCTGACAGTGGTGCTGAGGAAGTGGCTGAACCATTTTCAGTATCAAAGACAGATGCCACTGATTAAATGTAATAATTACAATAAAATTAATTCAGTCGTGATTTTAAATATAATTTCTTTTTTACAATGTGTTAATAAAGAATGTTTTTAAGTATATTATCTTTATCCCATCCCTCTGCTTTTATAACAATATTTTTACTGAAAATTGTTTGTTTAATATATAGAGTATTTAAATTAAGTGATGGTGAGATATAATCCAAATACTATGAAAGCATGGTTAGCGCAACATTAGATGAAGTAAAGTTTTTAACTAATGATAAATCAGTTGTTTCGTCTATAGCATACTGACGAGAATTAATAAGTTCAAAACTGGTTTATGTGTGGTTACTCTGTTTACTAGATATGGAACCCACAGAGTAGTTACTTCCACAAACAATAGGTCATACTTTCATAATACCTACAGATTAGTAGGTCTTTCTCTGCCAGTACTACACACAAAGCAATGTTTTGAGCTGGTAGGCATTGAGTTACCCATTCTTAAAGGCTGATGGTTTTTACTCCTATTAAATTTATCTCCCAGTTAACTCTTGAAGCCCCGGGTTCCAATTTCAATCTCTGTGCCTCAGGTGGGTTTTATTGACCCAATGTAATTTTTAAATAACTACTAAAGTACTTATACATTATTTCTTATGCCAACATTGGAGGGCACATTTTAATGTTTTAAAAAGGCGGTATAATCCATTTATGACAAACAATTTTATTATGAGGAGCTAAAATATTTGAAATTAAAAAAAGTACAAAAAGAAAAAAATGGCTTTTTCAAAATCGTGTAATTTTTTAATTCTTAATATTTTTAGCTAAAAATATAGGGTTTTCTTTTGAAGACAATATTTGGAGGAAAAAAAATAGACCCATCTTGAAATAGGTATATTTATTTTACTTGGAGTTAACATTTTAGGAATAAAAAAAAATCATTTATACAGTAAAGATACATAAATCTATATGAATTTAACTGAGTTATATACAAATATATAAAAATACTATTTAAATTATTTTTAAAAAACCGGCCATAAACAAATAATATGCTTCATCTTTAGTGACCTTACAACTTCAGTTCATATTTTATTAGCTTTACTCCTAGTGCATTAGAAACAGTCGGACGCAATCGCATTTGATTTGAAAAAATGAATTTTGTTGAAAATTGTTTTGGATTGCTCTAGAAACAGCAATTATAAAGATAGCACTTTTGCAAGTTTTTTTTTTACTTCTTCAACAAATCTAATTTAATTAACAATATAAATTTGTATTAGAAAATAAAAAAATTAATTCTCAGTTCAGAAACTTGTAATTGAAAATTATTAGAAATTATAAATATTTTTTATAAAACAGATGATTATTTCTCCTACTCTGTAAAATTCATCTATCTTTCAAATCGGGATCACACGAAGCCTTCAAAAGTCGCTTCACATAAATTCCATCACAACAGGAGCCGAAGACATTGTCCTGGAGATCCCAGAGACCCAGCGCGACGATGTAGGAACGTGGCGCGAAAATGGAAATTTTCACTTCACTTTCGAAAATGCCGCCGGCTGCTCCAAGCAACCCCTAACCACAGCAAAATTGTTTTATTTGCTGTGCCCTAACCACTCTATGCATGGCAGTCGATGTCCATAGAATTGAGGACGACGCGCTTTGAAATGCTTGAAATAGGAACATTTTCATCTCACTTTCCAAAGCTTCCATCGTCGCGCCCAATAACCACTCCAAACAGCTAAAAAATACTCCGATACAGTAACCAACATTACAACAACGCCAAATATTGGCGAAGAAGCCATTCCAGGTTCGAATTTCCATTAAATATAGTGGAAACATAATAACGACAAACACATAGAGGCCAATCCAAGAAGATGGCATGTTCCAGAGGTTCGGAAATGGTCAACAGCAGAGCCAAGAAGTGGCCGGAAATGGTGCCGACCTAAGCCGAGCTACGCAAGAGAAACTAGCGGAGATGCCCTTGCTCGTGTAGGCATGGGTAACACTGTAAATTTTCGTGTATTGACACAACAATACCGACACGGCTTGCTGTATCAACACAACGTGTCAGCACAATTGTGTCATGATACAGTAAACTGGATCGGATAGATGCAGATGTGTGGCACTGTCTGCGTGTCTGCGCCGCGTTCAATCTCGTTATGACACGCCGGTTCCTTTACAAGTTCACAATATAATTTTAATTAGTCCAATTTTTGTAATTTATTTTTGATTATTTTGTTTTATTTACGAAACCATAGCTATCAGTATTTTTTTAATGTTTCAGTTTTAGTTTTATGTTTTTTTAATTTTGCGGTATGTTTTTTTT